CTTACTTGATCAAACATTTGCCTAGCTCCCTGATATCAGAGGATAATTTCTGAAAAAAAGCTAGTCTGTTTTAGAAATGTTAATGAAACACTTAGCTAAGCAGAGAATTGCATGTGGCTGAGTGCTTCAGAGCTACTGTCTTGTAAATGTTACTTTGCATTTAAAACACATTCTTGATTTCAGAGTGGTTCATGATTGTTTCTTGATTTAATCACTTACATAGGTAGGACATACCACTCCCTTTTGTAGATTTTAAGAAAACTAAGAAGTACAGCAATATCAGTGTGGGTCTTCAGTTTTGATGGTTTGGTAAAATCCTGTGTATTTAGTCAAACTGTCTCTGAAGGAGCAGATATGTAGTCTCAGCATGTGGCCTGTTTCTCTTAGTAGTCCATTAAACAATTTATAATGCTCAAAACCTGTGTTCAAACACGTGAAGTCATCAGCATCAAAATTAGCTTTTCATTTACTCTGTACTACTCAGAGTAAGGCAAATATTTCCTGTCTTGAGTGGCCAGTCAGATCTGCCCAGGTGCTTCCCTTCCTGCTAATAGGTATCTTATAAATTAGCAATTGAGATCCATTGCTATATTTGGATATTATGGGTACATGATACACAGAAATAATGAAGTCAGCATAAAATGTGGGGGGAAAAAAAAAAAAAAAGAGGAGCAGACCAGTAAGAGTCATTATACAAATACTGCTGATTTGAGCAAAAAGTTAATTAGTTGTGGATTTTTGCCAGTTGGTTGGTTGGCTCTATTTTATTGCAGACTTTGGAAACAGTTCTGTGTGGCTTTGACAGTGGCTGGCAATGGAGTTTACTCTTGCTCCCCAGTCTAGAGGCAGGCAGAAAAAACTCCAGGTAGCTGCATTTTAAAGGATCTTAGGGAAGGTTCGCATTCATGCTTTGTCCATTTTTTGCCTGCCTAACTAACCGCACCATCACTGGGTATGGGCAGCTCCGACTGCTCCTCGTAGGCTAAACTGCAGGCTGCCTCCTTCGTGATTGCGTGAGGCTGCCTCAGAGCCCTGTGAAGCTCTGCAGAATGATGCCAATGCTGCTATTTTAATTCAGTTTCTGTGGCAGCAGTATCTTAAAGGTTCAGGGTCTTCTGAGTCAGCGCGAACTAGCTGTTTGTTTTTTCTGGAGTGCCTCTACAGCACAAAACAGCAGGGTGGAAATGTTCCTCAGTTAGTGTCACCTGTGTTGCACATCACGGTGCAGAATTGTGCGGGGATGCCTGCTCAGGTCAGCTGCATGGCACTGCTGTTAGCAGTGCATTTTCCTAGATGCTTACGTTTAATGTCTGTCTTTTTCACCTCTCCATTCCGTTTTCATCCTTTCTTTCCCTCTCTTGGATCCAACCCTGCAAAGTGCTGGGTCTCCAGTTTTGCAGAAGAGGCCACTTGATTTAATAGTTCTTGTAGGTGGCCAACACCTCATAGAAATGTTTAGCACCTTGTTTAGCAGGCCCATATCTCCTTCTCATTTTTTCCTAGTAACAGGCCTGGAACCTGCTAAACTTAGGCCGTCTTTGTGACCTCTTCTCCCTGCAACCTGGCCCTTGCTAGTCCCACCCTTTGTATCCATCTTCTTGCTTCAAGTGATCTCTCTCATTTTTTTTTTCTATCCCCCTTCTGAGGAGAAAAGAAAAATCCCCAAGTCTTGCAAACCTGTACAAAATGTGTGCTTTTGGTGGGTATCGAATCTTGTTCCAGGGCATTAGTTTGGCCACTGGAAACAGATTAATGAACTAACCAGACTTTTGCTGAGAGTGCAGTGGGACCACGATGCTTTGTGTGTTTTGCTCTGGAAAAGCTACCTGTCGTATCGGGAGTTACTTGCACTCTGCAAAGAAAAAATAATAGCAGCGGCAAGTTCAGGGACTTGGCTATTGGCCACTTTTTGTTTAAATATAAACAGATTCCTAGGTTTAGGGGTTTAATTTTTAAAAAAAAAAATTTTATTTTTTTTTACTTCTTGTTCCTGTGTCCTTACCAGTAAAACCCCTGTGTTTCTTTTAAGAGAGTCCAGGCACTTGATACTTCCTTCTAGGGCATTCTATTTCCTTTCACACCTGCCCTAAAGAAGATGATGTTACTCAGAAATGCAGATTTGGACAAAATTTTTAGAGATATTTGGAAGAGGGGCAGTAGTAGTTATGAGGCCAAGGCTCAATAGGAATGTTTTAATTGGGGCACAGTGCAAGGTCACCCAGTGTTTTGCAGTGTGTTTTCCCCTGTCAAGTAAACCCCTGAAAGTGCGTTGGTGTCACTGAAGAAAGGAAGGTGTTCTTTCAAGTAAACAGAAGAAAAATCACTAAGTGGGTAACTCATTGAAATCCACCTGTAAGTTCATAGACTGCCAGTGCAAATCATGGAGCATCAACGTCAAGGGCTGTGTTTGTCATGAACTGCGTAGTAAGTGGTGAAAACGTTACTGTCGTTAACCTGATGGGGAATATGATGGCAAATGAATCTTTTCTAACGTGATTAGAAAGGATAATTTCTTCTACTGCCACAAAACTACCCATCTGGTAAGATTTGCTGTGTAAAGAAGCTCATGGTCAGCTGAATACGTAATTTCTTCTCGGCGGATGACATGTCTGTGTACGTTTGAATTGACTGAGACTCAGGAATGTAGCTGTCTTAGATCTTTTAATGACAACACAATATTACTGGCAGGATGAGTGAGTGCTTGTTACACTCAGACTGATTTGCTTTGCCTATGTGCAATTGCCCTGCAAAGCAGGAATTAAGACACTCAGGTAACCACAAATGTATGAAATGTTACATTGCTACACAATCATTTAGATTTAAATACATATTTTTTTCTCTTCACATACTAGGAGGCACTACTTGTTTTGGGAGTTCATCTCGTTAAGGAAAGATGGAAGCGCGCAAGGGGTTGGTGGGGAGTGACTTTAACTTCTAGGTCACTCACTCAAGACCAGTATGCTAGCAAGTAAGCTGTGTTACCAACAGATGAATGTTCTGAAGACATTGTGAAATATTCATGGATACTGTTTGCAGATGTTCACATGAAACAGCTAGTGTTACTTAGACCCATTATTGACAACTCTTAGATGAGAGGCCAAAGCTTGAAATAAGAGTAGAGTTCGGATTTTTTTTTTAAAGGATGTGGGTGTGATGAAAGTGGTGAAGATTTTGCCTTTGTTTCTATTATAGAAGGAATGTCTGGCGTGATTATAAGTATCTAGTTTATTTGAAATATAACTTGAAATTCCTTTTACTGTTTGATTAACAGCATTGCCTTAATATCTTCCAAGTTTCACTAAGCCCCGTGCTTTACAATGTGACATTCCCAGGAAACAGGAGGCATCATCTGTCAGAAGACAGGAAACATGCAATGATTAAATGCATTTTATTGTTTTCTGTGAAACTGTGCCCAGTTTCTCCCTCTTCATGTGGGCAGATGGAATTTTCAAGAGCTTTTGTTATTATACTGAAAAGATTTAGGCCTCATTTTTACTTATAATATTTGTGTATACAAAAAAATCTTAAAACCCCAAAAGATTACTTAGTTTTAGCTGACAAATTATAAATTATTTATTTATTAGCTGAAACATCAAGCTAGAAAAACTAGCTTGATTTGTTTCATGAAAAGAAATAGAAATATTTTTTCCTTTACTAGTGAGCATGACTCCTATAGCTTGTAATACCAATAACTTTTTGTGGGGGGTGAGGGAGAGATGCTCTACCAGAAACAGCAGCAGTAACAGTAATTGGGTTTTGTGATTTCTGCTTTATTAAGACTTCAAATCACACAAGTGGCAACTGTCCTGGTGCCCAAATGAATTCTGTTTGAAACAGTACGGATACCACTTACCTAACCTTTACAATCCTTCGAGTTTCTCAGCATATCAGGGTGAATTACTGCAGCTGGAATGTGTAGCCCCTTGAAGACTGTTCCTGTGTAACAGGTGCAGTCTCCTTCATGTAACTGAGCTTCAGGTTCTTGTCGTTTGCCCCTGCAGCTTAGAAAATGAGAAAGTTTGAAGGTATCAGTGGCCTAGGGTCATGTTGTGCGGTTCTGTGGGCCACACCAAGCCTCTGGCAGGCTCATGCAGTAGTAATTAACCATTGGGAAAGTGACTGAAATCTCCAGGCAGAAACTGTGGAGAGAAACCGTGTTGCAAACGGGAATGGAAAGAAACATCTACATGTTGCTTGGCAATGTAATCTGTTTTGTTAGTCTGCCGGGGAAAAGCAAACTGTGACTTCATATAGACAGAATTTCCTGGGGAAAATAATTTTGGATTGAAAAAAAAAATTAAACCTTGTTATTCAGAGTATATGCAAAAAGCTTACTATGTCAGATAGCCAATGATCATTTAGGCTTTGATTCATGATTAATTACTTTTCTGATTAATGATCATTGCCATCTATGCATGTGAGCTTATTTCCAGTTTCTGGATATTGCCATGTTTTAGAAAAAAAGAATTTTTTTGCTGATCACAGAATGATGTTGGAACATGGGTGAGACAGCCTCATATGATGTGGAGTTTGGACAATGGAGAGTTTAAATTAGGATTTGCAACTATCAGGCATAAGGCCACAGAAAACACCTTTTCAGCTGAAAACACATAGTTTACAGTCAAGTAAGTAGCTATATTTAATCATAAACTGTCAGGCTGTGATACAGTGTAGCTGTGACCAGAGCGCTAAAATGGATAAAGGAACAGAGAGACCATGCTTTAGAGAGCGGCAAAGAAATTTGCCTCTTACCAGTATGTGCAACAGCAAAAATTAGATTAAATCTAATTGATTAATCACCTTGATTTCAATTTTTTTTTTTCCAAGTCCTGCTTGATGTGCCAGTTTCATTAAATACATTAATTGCTTGTGGTTTGCAGTGTTTCCTGAGTGGAAAATGCCTTCGTGTTTATTGTGCCATCCAGCTGTTAGATCCCAACATGTAAATGAAATCAAACTTGTGTGTGCTTATCTCTATCCCTTCTGTGATTGGTTTAAAGGTGATGACACAATGACAGGAGATGGAGGAGAGTACCTTAGGCCAGAAGACCTCAGAGAACTAGGAGATGACTCTTTACCAAGCAGCCAGTTCTTAGATGGTATGAACTACCTAAGGTACAGCTTGGAAGGAGGACGATCTGACAGGTATTTGCCTGGACACGTATCTTTTCTCACGATAATTCTGCACGCATTTTGTTATACATGTTTGAAATCCCTTTCTCGGGGTCCTTCACTCAAGGGAGACATGGGATGCACTTGTCAAACATTTCTTTATTAGGGATGTCAGTGTGGCAGTCACCACTTTGTAGGACCTGTCCAGAAATGAGTACATTTGGCACTAATACTGTACTCGGAGTCTAATGAAGAATTTGTTTGTGATTCTTATTTGGTTCTTGAAAAGACATAGCTTGCTTTATTGTCTCTGCGGTCAGGCAAAGGAAGAAGCGTATAGCTGTCTATGGAAAGGGTTTATGAATCATGCCCATCGCCTCCTGTCGTGAGTCAGGTGATGGGTCGATAGGTGGACAGGGTGTTTCAGCGTTAGGTGAGCTGACTTTTTAGAGAAGTTTGCTGGCTATAGATATAAGAAAAAGAGCAATGGACCTGGTCATCCTGCATTGGATTAGCAGTGAGTGTATTGTCAGCAAGCACATTGATTCCTTCTGTTTCATCATGGTTGAATTAGCAGGAAAGAGAAGTGTTTCCTTCTACTGGCACAGCACTGTATTTATGTTGTAAATAAAAAACCCCAAACCATTAGAAAAAAAGAAGGTGTGTGCAGTCCAGAAAACTTACTCATTTGCTTATATCTAACAAGTTGAATTTAACCCTAGATGTATTTGCGGAATAATAATGCCTGCAGCTTTAATCTTTATTTTTTTTATTTTATTTTAGCAATGTCACTATAGTCTACAAAAAATATGGAGTTCCCTTTTCAAAATTAGAGCCTTTACTAGTGAGCAGAAGTGTAGGCTCACACTGGCAGGGTAACACCCACAGTTCTAGTTTAGAATAGGCTACCCGGGCATTCCTGTTTGAAAATGACAATGTCTAGTGTAAATCAGTAATGTCTCCAGACTTACTGCCTTTAGAATTGGGATTCACTAAAGGAAAAAAAGAAAAAAGTTGAGATCTTGGCAACAGAAGGAATTTTTAACCTACCTAATTTTCCAGTCTTGGTTGTTATTCTGGCAGCATTTCTGAAGCTCAGTGAAATCAGTAGGATCCGTTCTGTTTACTTCAGTAGGCTATGAATTGCTCCTGGAACAAAAGATGCCAGGAAGCAGTTTGGTTTGCCTCACAGCATGTGTAAATCCCTCATCATTCAGGTCTTATAAGCTTGGAGTCTTTGTTGGTTTTTAGACAGCCCCAGTGAATCCACTGAAAACAAAGTGACTGTGTGGCTTTTTAAGTCTGAGAGGATGTTTATGAACTACATCAGAATGCTTAAAAATCAAAACCTTTTATCACGTGCTTTCAATGGTACAAAGTTTTGTTGTTTTTTTTTTAATTTTAAGATGTGTTATAGAAATGATTGTGCAGGCAAGTGTTAAGCTAGTTTCTGCTCCCATTTAGAATATTTTAGCTTTTAAATACTGTCAGTGGATTTCAGTAGAAATTCACTGGCATGTAATTGATGTGTTTATTTTGTGTTGTATGAAAATTATTTCATGTCCTGTATCAAGCATGAATATATTGAAATGAAGCAAAATTATAAAGGGAGAAAGAATGAAAGAAAAAAGTACATCTTTCTAACTCCATGGTCTCATTTTCTGTCACTGTCAGGTTACTGGTTGTAAGAATTTTCACAGAGACTGCTTAAATTATTTTGCTTTTGCTGTAATGTGATTTTCATTGCATTAAACTGACTTTGGTTTTTCAAGAAATTCAGTAAAGCAAAATAGTATTAGCAGTCTAGACTCATGTTATCTTATGCATTAAACAATTTGATTTAAAAACATATCTCTTTCTTTTGTAACCATCTTCCCTGTTTATTTTATTTCTCTCTCCCCTTCATTCTTTTTCATATGCTTTCATTAGCACCATGCCCAGGTAGGTATTACATAGCATGAAAACATGTTGTCTCTCTATCCTTTTATGGCACCTGTCTCTGTTCATCCATTTTGGAGGCCTGCTGTATGCCGGAAAGTTGTTTTGGAGAACCAAATGAACGACGCTGCTTTTGAGATATAGTCTCAAATGAGTATGATACGTAGTGGTGAATATTGATCCAACAGTACCCTCTGTCTAGAAAGGTCATAGTATGACATAGCCACTGTCCTACAGAAACTTCCCTGATTCCTGTACAAATACTGTTAGCAAGCATCAGGAAAACTGCACTAGATCGCAACAGCTGGTAGCTGTCTTTCTGTCACCATGCTGCCGGGGAGGTTAGCTGTCTTCCTTCTCTGTGTGGTGAAACAGTGGTAGAATAAAAATTAAAGAGAATGGACTACACTAGCTGGATTCTCCCTCTGGATATTGAGAGCCAGAACTGATTTGGGCCATATCAGATCACCACTATTTGAAAAGACCCCATTTCATTTTCAATCCCTTCCACCTTGCTGGTCTATGACAAGTGTGACGAAGCCTTTCAGTCTTTAAATAGAGAAATGTTTTCAAGGCTGATTGATGCAGTTTTCAATGATACCAGGTTCTTTTCCCAGCTTCTGAAACAACATACACTTCCCGCAACAAGAGATACACTCAGCTGGACTAGAGATTGCTAGAGGTCTGTCTAGGCTGGCAAGTGGATGTGTCCTGCAACATGGCCTCCCAGTCATCCAGATTAGAAACTTGGCTAGAGTGTGCTGCTCTTACTTTCTGGATACCACCTGGGCTCTATTCAGGGCTTAGAAGAGGTGGGTGACACATGCCCGTGCATTACCTAACACGGGCAAGAGGCACTCTTACGTTCAGGAGCTTTGTAGCGTTCCTGGGTTCCACAGTTCAGTCTCTAGGGCTGAGTAGAGCGCTATTGACCCCACAACCCCCAGATTTGGAAAGAATCTGTATGTAGACATTAGTTTTGTTGTTTAGTTGTCTCTGTGTTTTAGGTGTTTTTTTTTTTTTTTACAGGATCCCTGAAGACTTATTACAATAATAAACAATAAGTTCTGTTCAGTGCCACTACGCTTCTGTAACTGGACTGTTGTTTCAGTCAGTACCTTTATTTCTAGGTCGCAGAAGTACAGACCTTTTAACTACTGGTTTGCTCTTCATTAAGCTGGTACAGCACACAGAAGAGGGGCTGTGTCATCTGAACACTAGTTTTGAACTGAAGTGTAGTAGGAAATCTAGACTTCTAATTTACTGCAGACCTCAGTCATGCTTGTGCATACCTTGCCTGTAGATAAAGTCCATACCCTCAACCTACTGGATATTTACTGGAGCTTATGTACAGGTACTACATAGTGGATATGTACTAAGATACTTGTAGCGGTGGCAGTAGCGGTGCTGGGTACTTGCAGGAGAATACGGACAAAATCACCATACAGATAACCAGTCAAATCTAGTACATACTTCCTTTCATTCAGTATCTATCAAGGACATGACATTAGCTGAATAGCAGAACCTACAACTTGGATGGTGAACCTCTTACAAGCATTGCATGGCACAGTGAAGCAGTTCTGAAAGTGTCAAACATTGAAATGAATAAAGGATAATGATGGCAAATGGGGTCTGCCACTGAGGCTTATTTTTCAACCAAAGAACAAATGTTTACTGAAGTACTCTTGTTAGGAACAAGCAAGGTGTACTCTGCCTACCCAATTCACACTAAAATATGTAACTAAAATACTCTTCAGTCAAGATTCCCTTTCATAATTTTTTTCTGAAATGTTATATGCAGACAGTTAGGGTAAACTTCTGTCCCTATTGAAATTTAGTTGGTTGTTTTAATGGAATCGGAATTTTATTCCAGAAATGCATAATTCCAATAATACCAGCCTTACATTGTCTCACCTTTTCCACTTGTCTGGGTGAAAGACATTTCATGACATGTAAGAGAGATTATTTACTATTGGATTGGTTTTTTCTCAAGACTTTCCTAAGGCTGATACTTGCATAATACCTATCTTTGCTTTCAGTTTTGTACAATCCACCTAGTATGCTAAATAGGCCACTGGTATAAGTCAATGATCAGTAGCATTGATTATTCTTCAATGTCATGTATTTCTAAGAAAAATAAGATAACCACTTGCTTCTGAAAATGAATCAAAAAAATTATCGAGTGAATGTAGCTATTGTTAAAGAAGGCTGACTGGTCTGAATCAGAATCCACAAGATCTGCATTTAAAGCACTTGAATCTCATGTCCATAATGTACACGTCTTTTTTATTGCTAACTACTGAAAATGAATTATCCCTTAAAAGTCTGCATATCTAGATAAACGGCCTATTGTTCTGATCCAGTGTGTTAGTCATTAGGAGTACTACTCATGGATGTGTAAGCCATGAAAAAAAACCTGCTTCTTTCAGTTATATGTACTATATTCCTCAAGATGCAGAACAATATCACAGAGTACATGTGTAACATCTGAAGGTGGTTGATCTGGTTTTAAAAATCACTATTGTAATACTGCTGCTAGTAAATATTTAAAGGACAAAACTAGTGGTATTTGGTAGCAGAAACCCCATTTACCTCAATATGTCCTTCTGTGGTGTCTTATTTGTCTTTTTTTGCTTTTTGCTAGTGGATTCTGCAGTTACATTCTGAGCCAGTGCTTGGAAGCAGCTTATTTACTGCCTTGCATCTCTCATTGCTACAGCAACCAGTTTTTTTGTAGAGCTGTGTGTACTTACAAAGAAAACAGTGCTCACGTTTGGACTGCCTCTCTAAAGATGCTGTTGGCATACAGAGGAAGAATTTTGTTTTACACAGGAGCTTGCGGCTGGCCACAATTCACCTTGCTGTGTGTACCTTCCAGGGGACAATATCAAGCTTACTTATTTACAGTTTTAAGGGGAGAGAGTAGATCATGACAAAGCTTCAGAAAGTCATTTCAGCTTTTCTTCAGATGTTAGCATTCTGGTTTTCCATAGTGGTTTGCTTGTGTGACGTAGCAGAAGAGAGAACTTCTCCAAAGAGCCATACTTAAAAGAAATTTATGCCCTTTATTATAAGGAAACTATCAGGCCACAAAGCCAATTACAAAGTATTCATGAGTATAAAATGAACTGTCACCTAGATCAGTCTCTAGGTTCTGCATTTTGAAGTAAATAATTCAGTCAAAAGACTTTGTGGCCCTTGGTCAGAAAGGTAGCATAACACAGATTTGTAAAGCTGTTTTCCCCCCCGTGACTATTATCTACTCCCCCTGGAAGCTGCATCATATTGCTAATAGCACGCTTTTTTCATTCTCCCACTCGATCTATCATGACACCTTTACAACATCATCTGTACTGCTGATATATTGCTATGGCATCCAACCAACCTACCAGCCTGCGATCCTTCAGTTCAGACAGGTCCCACACATTGAGCCATGCCTCCTACCTGAGGGACAGTGCCATGATTGACGATACGGTTGTAATCCCCAGCCAGCAGGTAAGCAAATTCTCCTAAGTTCACTTATCGGTTGGATAAATACAGAAATATAAAAAGATTGCAGTTTAGATTGTACTAGTGATACCACGTCGTGTGTGCTGCTTTGTTTATTTTAATATAAATCTCTCATTTTTATTGATATTTTATGGCCTATTATGCTGTGCAATATTAAACGCTATTCCATAATAAATGGATAAGCTGTGTGAATATAGTACAGGGACGGTCTTTATAATGTTCTCCATTTTAACTGATCTTTGAGTGATGCTAACAGCCATTGGGCTAAATATTCAGGTGATCTAATGAACTCAAGGCCATTGCCCTCAAAGATACTATCCTGAAGCATGCTTGTAGTTGAAAAAAAAAAAAAAAAAAAAAAGATTTAGGAAATGCCACTTTGGTAAATCACAGCATTAATTTCACTGGGACCACTAACATATGATTACTTTCAGTAAGTACAAAATATTACAATAAGGGGTTTCTAATATCTTAACACAATCATTACTCCTTTGTTTTCTTTTTTAAAAAAAGTTTAAATGCTTTAGGCACTACTATGCAAAATACATCTTCTTATTGTTTGGTTGTTAAACTGATTTTATTGTAGTAAAAAGGAGGGTTTTTTGCTTACCAAGGTAACAACTCTGGCCAAAGAAGCTGAAAGGAATTCATACCGCTTAAGCTGGGGCCCTGAAAACTTGGACAATGTGGCTCTTTCTTCCAGCCCTATTCATTCAGGGTGAGTGTATCAATTAGCATTATACCAAAAAAAGAGAAACAGAGTACCTGCAGTGGCAGCAGCTTCAACTAATGCTTAACGAGGAGTTATATTTTAATTCATTGCATCCTAGAGCTGTCAATAAATTGTTATGATTTCTTAAGCTCTGACAGTCAAGCAAGCCTGAGTACCAAGACTAGCCACTGAAAGCATTGCAAGTCAGTGAGCTTTCAGTCAAGTTCCAGAGGAATGAATAATTGACGCGCACACACACATATGCGTTTGTGTGAATTTTATGGAGAAATAAATACAGTGCCTTTTTAAAGTTAGTAAGAATTGAGACCAAGGGCCTAATCACTCCTGATGGTGAGTACTTCCTATGCTAGTGAAGTAGTTTAGGTAAGCACCAACTCTAGCGTTTGTCATGATTACTGAAGAAAGAAGCCAAGGATTTTAAATTACATGAACGGTGTAATAGGCAAGAAACTTAAACATCATGTGCTTTACACATATTTGGCCACTATGTTCATGCATTCTCACAACTGACTCTTTGTAATAAGCATTTGCATTTAGGCAAGCTCATTGAAATGGAATAAGATGGGTCAAAACTCAGGCGCAGCCGAATTCATATGTACAAAACTTATCCTGGTTGGCCTCAAAATCTGTGAGTGCATTTGCTTTAAGTGCTCTTACAGTGTTTTAAGTAAGTTTATTCTTTACACTGAATTCTACGCTTGTGTCCTGCTGTCACATTTGATGAGGCACATGCAGATGCATTAATAAGAAACTGATGTCACGAAAAAGCATTTTATTTCTGCAGAGCTGTGTTGTATGCAGCATGGCTGGACATAACAAGGAGAAAGTTGTTGGTTTGGGGTTTTTTTGTTTTTTTGTTTGTTTGGTTGTTTGGTGGTTTTTTTTTTGTTTTGTTAATCTCAAATGAGTTTGCAACAATCTGACAGTCCTTATCTTTCATAAAATAACACGGGAGTCTCATTTGGAATGACAGGCAGTCCTGGTCTAGAAGAGGAAAAATATTGTTATAACTGCGATTGCAAATTGAGTGATTTGTGACATATATGAGAAGTTTGTTAGCTGATAGCAGGATATTTGGCTGTGACCAGTGTTGTTTGGATTTGCTTTTCTTGAGCTCTAAAACTAACAAATTAAATGAAAATACTTAATGTGTACAATATGTATGTGTTTTTATATATGCCAGTATGTAAGCTTTAAAATGGTTTTGGTGGTTTATTCTAACCCTAAATAGTTTACAGGCTTTTTCCAAAGGACGTGTTACTTTTCACTTTCAGAAAGGTAGGTCCTTTCAGTGACTGCAGAGGATGAACTAAATACTTTCTGGAAAGGTGGCATTTTTTTCTTGGATGTGCAATCATTTTGTGTTTTTCTTTTAAAAAATATTAGTGATATTTAGATCTTTTTGGATGACCAGGATGCTAGCGATAGGATAAGAATATCTGATATTAATAGGAACAATGCTCCCTGCAGCCTTCTATGAAATAGTGACATTTAACACAACACAAATTATGTTCTTCTTTTTATACATACCAACTAACTTGCCACTAAATATTGTAATAAAGAAACCCGTAATAATGATTACTCAGCCTTTGGAAAAGACTGTACAATGCTTCACTTTTATCTTGCTTAGATTTGTGCAAGTCATTAAGTTTATCATAAATTGTTGGGGTGCATCTTGTTTACATCTCTTTTTTAGGAAAATACATTAAGTTTCGCTTGTAAGACCTTAATTTAAAAGTGAAACAATTGTCGAAGTACTGTGTGCATGATTGTTGCATTCACTTAGCTAGAACAACAACAACAAATATTTTTGTCATTTATACCCTGCTCGTCACCTACACCCTCCTTCATACACAGACACACACTATTACTAGGTTCTTATGAACTAGCAACACTGCTGACATTTCAGGTGCACGCACTGAAGTAGTATATATCTGTCATGAAAGAAAACTCCTAGTGTTTGAAAAGAAATCCTATAGAAACATTGTTAGTGGCTTTAAGCAAGGGTATGGCCTTGGTTTTGCCCAAGACACTGGAGATGTATTGAGTTCAGACCGTGTTTTTATAAAGTAACACATCAGCAAAGTATTGGACAGTAATTTATTTGCCACAGATGATCTTAATTTTGTATTCTGTGCAATCTCAGAAAAAAATGACACTATTCTCTCCCTGCACTACTTAAGTGGCTAACCCCAAATTGTTGTTGGGTTCTTACTGATCTCCCATTGTAGGGAAGTGTTTCTGTGGATCATAGTGTAACACCCCCAAGCAAAAGGATAAATTTATAGAGAATTGTTCTCTTGGTGTGGAATTTCACAGGCATGTAATTCAGCTTTTATGTAACTAACCAAAACGTCTCTTGCCTGAAATCTCAGAAGGGGAAAATGTTTTAACCATCCATTTGAACTTTATATGTAACTATTGTTTCAGTATGTTGATAATTTCATCAATAAGGAAAGAAAAGCAAGCTCTTTGGTCAGAGTCTTTGGCAGCCAATTTGAAAGCAATAAAATAATTCTCTCTCAAGAGGTAACAGTCTTTTGGTGCTCACAATCTCAACATAAACATCTCCTGGTCATTTTACACAGCTAACAGTTTCCAGATAGTTTCATGCATTGGCTGAAGGAAAAGGTATGAATTCCTGCATTTAAACTTCCTTTCAGCAAATCAGATTTGCTTCTCCTGATAAAACTGTCTGATCTTACATATTGAGCAGTGGTAAGGATCTCTGAATATGCCAGGAAGTTTGGGTGCTAACTATGCAACAAGATAGACTTTTATCTCTTTGCTGGTAATATTAGGGGATATTATGTATACTTTCCTGCTGAAGCGTTATGAGAGACAGAACTAATGCCTACATAAATGCAGATGTGTTTCACAGTTTTAATCTCATACCTCACAATATCCTGTGGTGGAAGAACACACGTTGTGATTAAGTCGGGAGGCAAAAACCCACGAAACAGAAGATTTCTTTTTACATGCAGCATTTAGACATTGCCTGACAGTATCATACTCATATGTCTCTAGCACCCACAGTAGTTCTGTGTGAATGGTGAAGATAAGGCTGACTGCAAGATTTTGAAGTATAAACTATGTGCAAAATTATGTTGTTTTCATACCTGGATTCTGGTGATACAGTGAAAAAAATGTCCACAATTTAGTTGTATAGATTATATTTCTAAGAATTTTACTGACAAATATGTAAAAGTATGAGAGGCAAATCTGACATATTGTCAGGAATGTGGCACTGTGAGGAAGGAGCTTTGAATTCATGCTTTGATATTAACTTGCTTTTGTGTTCTAGAGCAAGATATGTAGCAGCTCTGCAGTTTTTCCACCTCTGACATGCTCACAGTAAAACTTCTATTTAATGAAAGATACTGATTTCTTTTATATAATTTGATGGAATAAGTCCCTATTTGACTAACAGATGATGATCCAAGTGTATCAGTACTTGTATCTGACAAAATTAAACAGTTGGGATATTATTAGTGAATTTACCTTTCTGCAAGTTGTTGGTTCCATCAATGAAAAAGGGAGCAGGATGAGGGAGTGGGCAGCTTGAACTGTGACAAATAATGTGAATTATCATTCTTAGCTGCATGTCTGCAAAAAAGGAGACTGGATCCTTGCTAACAAGGTAAACAAAATATATTTCAAGTGTTGTATTTTGAATCCATAATATTGTTTTCCCCAGTGTGAGATTAATTTCCTGGAAATAGTTATGGAAACAGGACCTGGCAGCGACCAGCTGATAGTCATTTCTAAAATCTGAAAGTCTAAATGATTTCAAATTATACTGTAGCCTTTATGACCTTTATTCAGCAAGTTACAATAAGGAAAAACAGCAGGTGTGTTTAATAGCAAATCACTGTTCATGTCAGTGGAAGAAAATGGCAATGGAGATATATATAATAAAAAGCGGCATCAGAAAACTCACTGGCCATGTGACACGTTACTAAGAGCCTAAACAGGTCAAACTGAAAGTTTGAAATTTGTCATTTGGTAGTGCAGAACAAAAGGAGGACAAGAAACATGTTGAAATGGAAGAAAGTGGAGGACAGAATGTATTGATAGGAAATTTGAAGAAAAGAAAATCATGTTTTATTGTGTTATCAGAAACACTGGCTGGAATTACCTTAGATACCTTACCCTTTGATATACCATGGTCCAAATTTTACATGTGGATACCTAAACCAAGCAGCATTTCCCCTAATCTTGTTCTGAAAGATTTATTCAGAGTCTAACTGTACATTTTTAGGTATCTGACTTCCAGTTTGAGAATGTATGTAGAGAAAGCAGATCACTCTAGCTTTACTGCTGTAGTAATGTTAACTATTTGTAACAAAGGATGTTTATGTAGGCTTATTTTCCATACTCACTCCTACCTTCTTACCTGCAATGAATATGCATATATGTGTATATGTTCATGTGTTTAATTTAGAAATCTGTTTCATTTTTCCAGTATTTCAGTATTTCATTTAAGTCATTCTTTTTTGCCCTTTCTTTTCCTTTTTGATGTTAAATCATCTATTCTATTGCAGATGCTCTTCTCCATGTCTTGATCATGACAACAGCAGGTGAACTTCTGCATAATTTCTTTCTTTAATACACTGCACTTCCTACCCACCCTATTTATCCTCCTCTCTTACCTCCCTTCAGGATGCTTTAGTGTTTTGGTAGGGCATGTTAGCCAAGAGAAAAAAAATAATCTACTCTGACTAGCAGTAATAGTTAAACATGGCCCTATTTCTCTTCTTATACAGTACATGTCCACTTTCTCCCATCTGCTGTGTCCTCTATAAGAAAATAATACTGGACACCTAAGTCCACTGCAGAAAATCTTAACAAAGCTCCTTATGCATTCCTAGATTGTTTTAACCATTGATTTAATTAACTAGACATTCTCTCTGTTGGTGGCATGGTTTAATATTATTAAAAAAAAGGGGCCCCCCCCCCCCCCCAATCCAACACAAAACACTGTAGATAGGTTTAGTTTCAACTGTTGTGTTACAAAGTGGGCTTTTTATCTCACTTGTCTATGTAAAGAATATTGCAGAGCCACTCCCTCGGCCACATTTTCCAAATTGTGCCACCATATTGGAACTAGCAGAGTAACAGCACAGACCCAGTATATTTAATTTTTCATGCCATATGTGGTTTTTGTGTGACCTCGGTTAATCAGTGTTTGAATCGCTGGCACATTGCATCCCGCACAGAACACCCGAAGCAGTACCTTCCCAAAGGAGATAATCATCTTCACTTGGCAAACTGGGTGTTTATTGGCACAGTACCTCTTCATCTCCTTTACCGTAACCGTAGAAAGGTGAAAATCTTAAATATTCCCCTGTGCAAAATTATTAAATGGCAAAATAAAAACCCAAACTACAAACTCATATTTTTAGGTCATGTCACTTAAACTCTCTCTAGTTGACTAATGCAGTGAAGAGAATGTTACCATAAGTTAATACTCTAGTGGTTTCCTGCATAGGATCATGTTTTTTGTCCTCCTCCGAAGTGCATTTTGCCTTGTTTATGTATGGCATAGTTGCAGCCTGATGAAAAGCACACTGAGGTAGTTGAATGACTTGCTGTTGACTTCAACGGGAGCCGGATCAAGGCCTTTTTTCTTAATTTCAGACTCTCTATCAGTTTTTCTTCTCCAGCTGAACACTTTACAATGGCTGAAGCACCCTGATTGTTTGGTTTTGCTTCTTCACACTGCGACTAACACTGAATGCTGCTATCTCCTTGTTTCCCAGTTTCTTTTAAAAATTAAGATAATGTATGCAGAAAAGTTCTTAAATTTGTCTACAATGGATGTGTGCTCTAGTTAGAGCTTTTTATTGTTTCCTGCTACCTGATGAGAGCATGTGTGCCTGCCTAGCTAGTTTGAGAGAATAATCATACCTGAACTGAGTGTATGAAAGTGGTGGTGTATTGATTTTGCCTAATCTGGTTTTGTGTGTTCAAAGAACTATTGCCTGTTCTAGAAAGACACTTCACGATGCTAGGTTTGCATGGCTCTTCCAATGATTCTGCAGAATGAGAAAGTGTGTTTGAGTGCCAACATGCTTGCATTTGCAGCCACCTGAAACCGTGACTCTTCTGCAAAGCTATTTACATAGCAGTGATTCTTCGCAGATCACACAATAAGTATCTTCTTTCACCCCCCAGTGTTTACGCATACATTTTTTATTTTATTTGTTCATCCTGATATTATCTTTCAAATGAGCATAGGTGTAGAATAAAACCAAGTTAATTCCATATGAATAAGATCAGCAAAAGGAATAACTCAGGCTCAGATCCAGAATACAGATATTTCCTGAAAATACACCACAACTTTTTGTCCTTGTAAGGTGAATAAACCCAATGCACATATATAGTCTGTGTTTTGTTCAAGTGGAGCCATTAGAAAACCCATTGCTGTTTGCTGCGCTCTCTGTAGAAGGCATGGAAACACCCTGAAAGATTTAGGGGCCTTCTAGATATGTCCTCAACCAGGAGGATGCTGTAGCCAATGTTATTTGATATAGTTACCTTTCATATGGCAAGTATGTAGTTTTTAATTGCTCTAAAATTAAAAAGAATGAAATGGCCTCTCTAATTTATGAGTAAGTATTGCTAAATTAGAGGAGAATGGATGATGCTTGATCTAACTGCTAACCATGTGTTTAACAGAAGCATGTGTAGACTCCCCCTGCAGTCTGTAACTTATTCCTAGAAAAGAATTACTTTTGTTCTTTATTTTTTCTTAAAATAAAAAAATAAAAATAATAATAAAAAAATCCTGATTTCCCCTTCATTCTCTTTAAAGTAGAGAAGGCAATGATTTCCCAAAACCTAATTTGTTTCATTGATTTGGCTATCGTATTGGACCTCCACCTTGCTAAATCTCAGGAAAGCTCAGTATTGATCCAATCTGTAAGAATGTCAGGGTCACGTTTGTGTCATGCATCATTTCTAACTGAACCTTTAAAACTGGCAGAAAACGAAACTTACTCAAAGGTCGTCTTAGTACTGAGAAAGATCATCGCGTTGCCCTAGTCACCCCTGACATACAAATTTTGACTTTGCTGCTTTAACCCATAACCTGGTTTGATTTTTGAATCATCACTTAATTGAAATTTAAGTTGTTGCCATGGATTGCCAAGATAAACCAAGGTCACTGCTAAAGAAGGATGCTTCTCCTGTATATAGTTATTATAGGAAGTACGTTTAAAACATGTTCTGAAATAGACTCATGCTGATGGAAAGTACATGTAATTTTGATGCATTGCTTGATCAATCAGTTCACTTATTTTGGCCACCTTTGTTTTAAATGGCTCACAAAAATGTTTTCCTACTTATCAGCTGTCCAAAAGTTTTTTCCTATTTATATTGTTTTCCCTCTCCTCAGTTTCACCTCATTTCTCTTAACCATAGTTAGTCCTTGCTAAGGTTTTCCTTTCCCTATTATGCCATTTTTAACCCCTTCTGAAAACTGTAGCTATTATATCTACATGGAGTTCCTGTAAGTTATTTTGTTTTTTTTTTACATTTTCTTTAATTTTTAATATTATAATAAATTATCACAGACCCACGTAAGGAACATTTATCAGCCTAATTTTTTTAGGATGCCTCCTTTCTTCTCCTCTTCCAGTGATAACCTGTAAGAGCTTTCTGATTCCCTTTAATCCCTTTTATTAACACCCCCCCCCCCCCCAAACTCTTCACAGTCACTTGTGTTTCTCTTCCATGAGCCCTCTCCTCTTCATCCTCTGTACGTAGATGGTTGGTAGTGCTTGTAGTGGTGCTTCCTGCAAATGGAACACGGAGTAAGCTCTGTGTTTCCTGCTTAGCCAGAAGTCACTTTTTGCACTGTCCAGTTAGCGTGAGCAGAGGGTACCCAGCGCCCTTTGCAGAAGGAGGATCTTAAGAAGTTTTAAGTCAGAGTAGGGAAGATCGATGCAAAGATTGAATGGGTACCTCTGAGGGACGGTAAGGCAAAGCACTGTCTCTCTGCATGCAGTAAGAGAAGCACCCCTGCACCTAAGCTTCAGGGAGTATATATGATGTTAGGGTTATTCATATGCTAGTATTACGTATTATTTTATTCTTGATCATGGGAGTTTGTAATGAAAAGGTACCAATTCCCAGAGCGATGGCTCAATCTGCCAATTATTGCTGCTAGTTTTGTTTGTTCATTTGAGTACAGTCTCTTCCTGTCTCAGTCTTGTCACTTAACAACATCTGGTAAAAGAAACATTAGAGAGAGGAAAAATAATGCGTGTGTGTGTGGGCAACAAAATAATTAATTTGCATTTTACATTTCCTATATATTAGTCATACAATTTTTTCACCTTCCTAAATGCACATTTCAGAAAGCATGTTTTATGTCACGCCTTCATTTTGTCGGAGTTATTTGTATATTGATATACACAGTCCTGCAAAAGGGCAAAGCTTTTCCAGTCCTGGAACAGTAATGTCACCATCCAGATGCCCTATTATGTAGCAAATAGGCAGAAAAAGAGGCTGCTATGATTCAGAAAATGCTTTGTTATGAATTAATTGCTTGACTCTATTACATATCCAAAATTATGTGAAACGTGCTGATTTAGAAACAGGGATGAAAAGAAATCGGATTAAATAAGTGGATGAAAAAATGAACGTGGCAAAAAGTTTGGGAAATAAACAGGGTGGTATGGGGAAAAAGAATGTATTTGTACATTTTGTGTCAGCTCTACAAATCCTGCATCAGTGTACCATCCTTTCAGACTTTTATGCCATGGCTCTGGAGCTGAGGAATTTTCCCCTTCAGTTTCTTTCTTTTGCGCTATATTCGTGCAAGTTCTCCAAAATTTGTTTTCTGGACATTTCATAGTAGTATATAAGTGGTTTTGTGAACCGGCTCCTCCATATTTACTATAACAATTGGCACTAATCTTTCTGTGCTGTCCTCATACTAATCTATGTTTGCCTGAATTTGCTGTCCAGCAGTTGAAGGGTACCTGCAGTTTCTTAGGTGGTTTCAGACTCAACCAGAAGTCACAGAACCCTTCAGGAATCTCCCGTTTCATCTGGGGGTCTGTTTCAGTGATATGGCACAAGTCTATTTTGTGGTGTATACTGTGATGAACACTCCTGTTTGCCAGATTGTGTCTCGTTATTTAGTAAATACATTAGATCTTTTTTATGGTATAAAGAGTTGTTTTTACAGTGCATAATAATAATGTCCTACTGTTTTTATCCTAATCATTGTTGTCTTTGTGTCCACCTTCCAATGATACTTATATTTGCCTGTTCTTCCACTCTTTGGAGCAGTAGTTGGTTTCAGTGACAGCTGACTGATAGACCTTGCCATAGATTCACTGACAGACCTTTCTCTGACCCACCAGGCATGTTCAGTAAACTTAAACTGAAAGAAAGAGTTGCAACTTTAAGGCCTGAACACACACAGGTATCCCTTTGCATCTCCAGTGTTTACTAGAGACAAATGCCACACTCAGTTTTTAATTGATCTGTGTTAGATCCCAAGTTTTGCAGGTGTGGGAACACAAGGCTATGACTGTGTGTGAGGTGAGATACCAGTTTGTTACAGATGGTCAAAATCAAGGATGACCACTGCTTCTTGAGCTTTTATATTGGTTCTACACTGCAAGCTAGTTAGCTTAATTGGGTAACGTGTGCTTTATGAGAAGGCACTGCTATTTCAGCACTCTGCTTATCTTTTCGTTAGTCTGAAAGGAATTACTATACGGAGAAAGAGCATGATACTAAAAGCAGCAGAACCCATTATTGTGGTCAGAACGGAGATTATTTGATTTGGACCCTTACCTTTTGTGTGTACATACTCTTCTAGCACTTAACAGTGGCTTTGGCATTGCTGAGACACATGGGGAGATAAGCTAAGGAGGACATAAGACAGAAAGGTGACCTAGCACTAATATTTCACTAATGGACAGCGAAAGAAGGTGATCCTGTTGTTAAAGTATACGGTCTTGAGTATTATGTCAATAATGAAAATAATTGAATCCTAAAAATTGTATTCATGACAGCTTACACAATAAGAAATGTGAATGCTAATTTAATTCAGTAAGTGCTCTCATTAGTTTCTGGTAATTGTGGGGGTAATATTTCTGTTGCTCATCGTATTAGCATCAAAATGTGAAATTCTTCTTTCAGCACTCAGTGTTATTAACTACCTCTAATGCACCCATTATGACAGAGACTTGGACTGATTCTCTGAAACATAATTCAGAACCACTTTGATAACACTACTTCATACAGTTAAAGGAAAATTGCAGTGCAAGCCACAGAGCATTATTGCAACAATTGAGCATTTAGTATCTCTTAAGCTCATCTTTCATCTGTGCTTTAAAATGTATAAAGTATGTATTTTATGAAGGAAGCTCCCATTTTTCTAAATTAATCCCCAGGGAATCAAAGCTGTAAAATGTTTTCATTTTCTTTTTTTCCCCCTTGTTAAAACCACAGAAACACCAACCTCTAAGGAATGAGATAATGGTTGTACTACCCAGACTTTTACACTAAACAAAATCTAGAGGTATATGAATGGCAGTAGAATAGGAGACTGCATGTGTGAGAAAGACTGGCATTTGTGGTGCATGGTGTGCTTCTGACTGGCGCTTGTGGCTCCTCTCCATCATCCATTTTTCTGACTTGCACGGTGTGTTGAGTGTTGTGTTTTTACAGCATGTGGAATTACTTGTAGCTGTGTGGACAATGAATGGATGCAATGTTTGTTGCACAGAATGGTCAAGGGGACAGTGGAAAAATACCTGTATTTGTTACTCATGTTATAAGGGCTTTTCTCTATTGCAGGTCCTTCAGTAGCATTTCTGCGACTCCCCATGTGATGATTCTATTTTAGTGGCTAGAAGTAGGCCTGATACCATTCTGTCTCATCTAATTTTCACTTCCAGCAACCTGACATTCCCATCCCACATCAGGCATGATCCTAAGTCATAAACCAGTGAAAAAAATTGAAGTAGTTCTACACCTTTCCCAAGAATGTCCCCAATATTTGTAACAAACTTGTCAAAATCTACCTGTTGATTATATATGGAAGTATAAAAAGTTCAGCATAAAAGAAATTCCATGAAATGTTTTTCTCCCTTTCAAAGAAAAAGAAATAAATAAGATAACTTACCTCGTGCTAGAAGAGGGCTCCCTGTAGATGGCTTTCTGCAGCTGTAAGTTTTCCACTGGGACATTGTATTGCTGTGCAAAGTAACACAGAAAAACAAAAATCCATAAATAAACCTCTTCTATAGTGACTGTAGCTACTGTCATCTCACCAAAGTCCAAAATTTGTCTTCAAACAATAATGGCGTGTTGGGTTTTTTATACAAATAGGTGCTAGCTCCACTGATGTATTAGGAATTGTATCCACGCACTCCAGAGTGAAATTTGATTTTTTTTTTAATCCATTTTTGTTGAAAATTAGTTTATCAAAAACCTAGAAAATTATATAGATAACCTAAAAAAACCCCAACAACCCCTCCAATCAGAATTGGCTTTACGTTCTTGAGTCATAAATAGTTTTCTTCGGTAAGATTTGCTTGTAAAGTATTTAAAGAGTGCCAACTTTACGATATAGATGCTTGCAGGTACAGAGTAGTGATATTTGCACTTGACTTTGTCTCTAATAGGTACATACACACGTGCTCACATTTATTAGTGACTGCTGGTATTTTTACCAACAGCAGCACTGCAAGATAAGACTTTCTGTGAAGAACTCTTAGATAGCACTTGTCAGTTTAATTAATAAATTATCTTAGCGTGATTTGGTGCTTCACATGGGAGAAAGGCTTTTTCTAAATGTACATCTTGAGAAAGAGCTATATTTACATAGGTAGTTTGTTATGTATGTGGAACATAACCAAAGGAATTTCGATATGTTTTGTATCTAATTTTTGTCCCCTGATTTTTCAGCTTCCTAGTTAGTTTCATGGTGGATGCTCGTGGGGGTGCCATGAGAGGTTGCAGACATAACGGACTACGAATCATTATTCCTCCGCGGAAATGCACTGCTCCAACACGAGTGACTTGCCGGTTGGTGAAACGCCACAGACTGGCCACCATGCCTCCTATGGTGGAAGGCGAAGGTCTGGCCAGCCGCCTAATTGAAGTTGGACCTTCTGGTGCTCAGTTTCTTGGGTAAGGGGTGCCATTATGGCCTAAAGGAAAATGTTCGGTCTACTTTCATCTGTTTGCAAGTTGCACTGAAATGGTTCCTTTTTCGAGACTTGAACAGGAAAAGATGTTTGTAACATACGGTAACAGACTGGTCGTGCGAAATACAAATCGGTTGTTAGCTAACAATTCACAAAGCTTTTACGCCTTTTCCTTTGAAAATGGATATTTTAACCACTAGCGCTAAGGTTAATGTGCTTCCTTGGATATAATTATTGCTCAGTGTTGTGATATTATAGTGGGAAGAGACCCCTTGGCAGCCAGAAAAGGGAGTTCATACTATATTTAAGTAATCTACATACAAGGCATGAATAGCACAGCACTGATCTAAAGCCCAAATGTAAAGCCTGCTACATATACAACACAAGTTACAGCTGCTTATTTTAGAGACTTGCGTTGTGTTATCAGTAATTTGGACTATCAGGGAAGCACAGTGCCTTTGATTTTTCTGGGGTTGCAATTGCTAAATTAAGCAATAGGACAACCCTGGCATTTTTTTGCCATTTCTTTTGTCCTATGCTGCAAAACCCGTAGAAAGATCAGATTTGTGTCTGCTGCTGAGCTTCTTTTAGCAATTTTCAGCTGAAAGCAGCAGTTATACACTTTTTTTTATTTGTTTTACCAACTGTTCTCCCTATCAACTGTGGCATCCAAAAGTGGATGATTGAAGGAACCCCTTCTATTATGATAAATAGCTTCATTCAGAAATTGTAGGAAAAAAAAAAAAAGTGACTCTGTAAACAGCAATCGTTTAAATCCATTTTGAACGAAATCCGTTGCTTTAAAATCCTATTGTAACAGGCAGTCATCAGAGCCACTATCTTCGTTACTGTTTTTTCTAAAAGATTGAGCTTAGAGAAAAGAGAGAAAAATGTTGATAGGTAGTTTTTAACTGCCCAATGCTTTTACATGGAGTGTGAAAGGAGAACATACCCAAGACATCTTTTAGCTACTTTGCTGTTGCTCTAATCTGGTAAAAAAGCAAGAGCAGTTTTGAAACACTGCAAATGGGATGCTAAGAGCAAGCCAACCATTCCTTTTGACAGACAGGATACCTTTTAATATCAGAAGTAATAGCAAACAAGCTGGCTAATCAGATGCTTTGTACCACTTATTCTTTTCACATCTTGGTCACTTTTAAAGAGAAGCAGAAAGAAATCTAAAGAGCAGAAGAAATATTGTGCTGTCACATTCAGTCTTCCCATTACCTTTGTCACACACAAATTGACCTTAAGTATGTCTCCCATTTTCTTTTTAATGGTTTCTTTATCTAATGAGAATGTCTCGCCTGAAAGACTAGGATATAGCACAGTTTTATTCATTCTTAGATCTTTACGCCTTTCCTGCAAGCGTTTTTCTAGGTGTTGTACTGGCAGTGAAATCAGACAATTACTGTACTGTTTGCAGAGATGCATTCTAAGGTCCAGCTCCTGTTCCCATTGAGTTCGCTGCCAAACCCCCCCATTGTCTTCCCATAAGCAGGAAAAGATCCTAAATTAGCAAAACTAATTTTGCTGATTTTGATCATCAAATTGTCATCGCTAGGACGGAACCTTATTCAGTGTACAGCCTAATTCCACTCTGTGGACCAGACAGTGGCACTGGCGTTCTGGCACAAAAAATACATAAAGTTTATTTATGTTCTTTCTTTCACTGCTGCTTTGGATGTACTCAGTAAACTTCATCTGCCTACGGCTCCTCCCCCACTTAATGAGGGAGAAAGTTTGGTCAGCCGAATCCTTCAGCTGGGGCCTCCTGGGACCAAATTCCTTGGGTAGGAGAGACTTGAAACAAATTGATGGATGCTGACCTCCCCATTCTTCTCCTCCTTCTGCAATATGATTTTTTTATGTCATTATGCCCATGATATCGTCCCTTTCTATTATTTGAAATTTTGTATACCTAACCTTTAGTGGACCATTTTTCAACCCTTGTGGTATGTGGTTTTGTTTTGGTGGTATGTTTGTATCTTTTTCTTAAAGTACTGTGGCCTTCATTTTTGTTTTGGCATGAAATCTTCCTAGTTACGTGCTTGATGTCTGTAGCAAAGCAACCTGGATTGGGACCAAAAAAAAGGAATCTACTGTAAATTCAAAGATGTTTTTGTATCAAGGACTGATTATTCAATAAGTTATATGTTGGATACCACCAGTATAATAGAACACATGACATTTACTTATGTACACGGTAACCTGTGTGAGTCCTCTAATTAGAGAAGTGTATATACAAATATATTTGTATTTTCTCTGTTATTTCTAAGAGTATGTATGTACATGTATATATAAATATAGATATATGTACATGTGTTGTATATGTGTGTGTATATATATGGACACATACACTGATAAATACATTGACATCTGCTTGTAAGGCAACACAGCAAATTCTTATCTCCTATACTGAAATAGAAACCCAGATGATCTCCTTGGACCTCCTTTATCTCTCCCAGAGTGTAAATCGGGAATAAATTCATTGGAATATATAGAGTTACAATGAAGTAAAATTGGCACAGGATACAATTGCCTGCTGATTGCAATGGAATTATTCTGATTTGCACTAGTATAAGTGAGATCAGAATTTGTCCTACTATTCATATACGTTACAGTAGATTCTCTTTGAAATGAAGTTGCACAGGTTAACCCAGACAGTAGTGACACCTATAATGAGCATGAGTTTTTTTATGAACCGGCAAAACAATCACCAAATTTCTAACTAAGCACTATTATCTTACCAAATATCATTTGCACTGTGGAAAGAGGTGAATGCACTTTTTAATCTGTCCTTCAGCATTTACTGGGTCCCTGTAAAAATCTAGTATATGTTAGTGACCTACTAGTTTAGGATTATGCCAAAGTATTCCAGTGAAATAGGTAGAATTCCAGGTCACTTTGTAGCAGACCGAATAGAGTTGCTGTTAATCCTGTTTCTTCCTCTCTCCCGTGTGCATTTAATGCGCTGTGTTGCTGTGCCAGGCCTGTGATTGTGGAGATTCCCCATTTTGCTGCTCTGCGTGGGAAAGAGAGAGAGCTGGTGATCCTGCGCAGTGAGAATGGGGACAGCTGGAAGGAGCATTTCTGTGAATACACTGAGGATGAACTGAATGAAATCTTGAATGGGATGGATGAAGGTATCCAGTGTGACTTTTTCTATTTATTCTGCTCCTGCATTACTTCTGTAACTGTGGGTAATAGCTTTTTTCCATTTATTCTATTTAGCACCCTATGTTTGGTCTGCCCTAGAATTTCTGATGCTACATTCTCCAGATACTTCATTTCAGTCGCACTGGAGCATGATCATGTTCTCAGTACAGGAGCCAGCAGAAGCACTGTATACTTGTGCTTACTGCCTTGCATGGTCTGCTGAAGTAGTGGGACAAAACAAAATCTACCATCAAGAAGCTGACAGTAGATGCTAGACTTACGTTTTCTACTGCTCCTTTTCATAGTGTTGAAAGAAAAGCTTCTATGGCAAACATCTTTCCAAAACAAGGCAATTACCGTAGTAAACCTTTCCAAGCAGCTACATGTGTGGGAGGAAATGTCAGTCATGGGTACTCTTGCTTTCTGAGAGAACAGAATGGCCTTGGGCTGTCTAGGATCTGCAGAATTTGTTATTAATTTTGATTTTTTTTTAATTTTTTTATTTTTTAAACAAAAGTAAACAAGCCAAATCACATACTTAAGGCCGAAGTCATACTTTGGTACTTTTTTGATTTGGAGTTTAGTTTCCTGGATGCTACTTCAGGCTGTAGTGTAAACATGTAAAGTAGAAAGGGGCTTGGACCAATCCCTTTGCTTGTTTACCTGCTGATTTGGGGGATGTGGTCAACACGTTCTGAGTTTGCTGTCTTAAGCTCCCTTCAGTTAGTTGTTCAGTCTGTCTGTTCCTTTCTTGTTTTCTCTGTTTTAACGGAACTTAAAATACTGGGATATGGTTCCTTTTCCCTTTTCATTTCTAGAGAAAATTCTTTTTGTAAGTTGCAGTTAAACTGTGAAAAGCTTGAATGCATTTTGAAGTTCACTGTATATTGTTTCTACGATATTCTTGTCCTCTGACCATCTTCTCTTTTGGCCTCAGTACTTGACACTCCAGAGGAGCTTGAGAAGAAACGTATCTGCCGCATCATCACCCGAGATTTCCCTCAGTACTTTGCAGTGGTATCCCGGATCAAACAGGACAGCAACCTTATCGGACCTGAGGGAGGTGTGCTGAGCAGCACTGTTGTACCACAAGTGCAGGCAGTCTTCCCGGAAGGGGCTCTAACCAAACGAATTCGCGTTGGCCTTCAGGTACAATGAAACAATTACAAAGCTTATCTTGTTTTTGTTTTTTTTTTTTTTTAATGTAAAATCACCTTGTTTGAATGGAGAGCCAGCATATGCAGCTTATTATGTTGCATGTTGTTGTCTAGAATGCTTCTTGTAAAAATAATAATTTAAAAAAACAAAATCCATGCGGAAGTCAAAGCTAGTGGTAAAGCTTTCGGTATTCCAGTTAATTCAGATTCCTGTCCGTTAACTGTCTATATATGATCTTGGGAAAAGCACCCAGTTTCGGTGGTGATGATGATATATTAGTGTAGGTCATAGAACAATTTCTTAAATAGTTCTTATGAAAGCCATCAGAGAAGTGTGAAGTGCTGTAATAATTAGGTCAAATGTACAGATTCTCAGTGTGAAGTAAACCAGCCTAACAGTTTGCTACTGAAAGAGGGAAAGTCCTTCCCCTCCCTCCATCCCCTCCTCCTGCTGCATGCATCCACAACTTACCTTGCCCAGGAGTCTGTGCTTGTTGAAATCCCTCGTGAATAGCTGTAGGTTACTAAAATAGCTCAGACCTTGTTCTAAGAAAAAAAAAAGGAGACAAGGGAATCATTTGCTGCTGGTTAAGTGTATTAAATTAATGCTGTAAAGGGTCTGACAAGCACCAAGAAGGGGGATAGGAAAAGGAGGAAGGTGTGGGAAAGTTGAAAAAGGCAGTTTTCCCCTTCTCACTGGCCGTCAGTTCTTCTGTCTGCAGATTTTTGTGGGAAATTGTGCCATTTACTGTACTAACGTAAGGGTTTTGTGGCAATATACAGACCCAGTTCTTTACATGCTCGTTAACCTGTTTTCAAGTAACTATTCTGTTATTGTCTCTTGCTTTGGAAAGGCTCAACCTATGCATACTGAGCTTACAAAGAAGATTTTAGGCAACAAGGCTACCTTCAGTCCTATAGTCACACTGGAGCCCAGGAGGAGGAAGTTCCATAAACCCATCACGATGACGATTCCTGTCCCCAAGGCCTCCAGTGATGGGATCATGAATGGTTATGGAGGTGACACACCCACTTTAAGGTTACTATGCAGCATAACAGGTAGGATGCAAATACTAGAGCTTTTTATGTGCGTCTTAAAATTGTCAGTCATTGTGGGCTGAGTATGTTAAACTGATTATACACATGGGAAGCTTGGTGAAAACCTGACTGGGATGAGAGGCTGTAAAAATAAACTACTTTCCAAACAATTACTTTATAGCAGAAATAACATTTGTTGTTTGGACTAACAAGAGATGTGTAATATAATCATAGACTTCGGGTTTGGTTTTTTTTGCATCTTCCTTACAGTTTGTTTCTTGAGAACCAACATACCTCTGCCTAGCAGAGTAAGTGTAGTACAGACGTAATGTTGCAGTATGCTTCAAAGGAAAATATTGGAGTTAAATACTTTATACTTGCATTAACTCTGAAGTGATTAGCATCTCATTCAATCTCAGTTAAGAGGCAGAAATGAGATGCATGCATTTATTCTGTTTAGAAGGTCGCATCTTTCTTAATTTCCAAACTGATTTCAAATACCAACCCAATGTAAGATGCATTACACCCCGAGATGTGCCAATGAGTCATTCCGGAGAACAGGTGCTTTTACAATTTCTTGACAGAAAGGTGTTGGGTAGCTGCTGAAATACCAGAAACAACATCTGGTCAAGAAAGAAGTATTTGCATTTCCAAGAGAGCAAAACAGTGTTTATTTGAAGAGAGAAGAATGGTCTCATCTATAAAGAGGAATTTGGGTCAGTTTTTGGAGGACAGTAAATCTGCAAGGATCCTCTAGAAATTTTCAAAAGGGAAATTAGATCCAAGAATGCTTCATGAAAAGGAGAAGGAAGGTATTTCCTGAAAACTAGTATTCCTTTACAGATACAACTTGGTGTAAGGTTTGCATAAAGACTATACCGCATGGTCAAATGGATATCTAATGAGTCAGCTGTAGGTGAGAGGAGGAACAGACACGCATTCTGACTTAGCTCTGGTTATGCATAGTTTTTCCTTTAGTTCTTCATATTTGTTTTATAAATATTTGTAACTGCTGTTAGAATAAACACTTCTATTTCTGTTTTCTGTAAGCTCAGGGTGATTTTAAGGTAACTGGAAACCAACTGGATGTTCCTCACCAAAAGGTGAGGCAGGGACATATATTGAAGAACTCGAAAACACAGCTGCAGGGTGACAGATTGTGCCCACGTTTTCAGCTGCTTGGGCCAAATAGGAAGCTGGCAATGTGTGTGACAAAGAGGACAGAAACACTTAATAGACCGATGGGAATCCAGAAGGCTGTCTGTTGTACAGCGTGATATGGAGGTGCACATTTCAACTGCAAGATCTTCCAGGGAGCTTGTCATAGGTTTTCATAGCAATGTGCAAAAGAAATTTCTTAGTTATGTACATACTGGACCTGAGTCTTTCAATTATTTGAAAAAGAAGCAGATTACAGAAATCATGAATTGTAGTTGTCACTATAAGTAACATTATTATTGTTTCCCAGGTGTAACAGTACAGGTTTAACTGCACTATATCTGTGCCAATTTTGCCCCGCATATGTGAATAGTCTAAACCAAACAGAATTAATTTCTAATAAATTACACCTCCCCCCCCCCCCCCCAAAAAAAAAAAAAAAATTCTAGCCTCTTGTAACATTTCTGGAGCTGTGCTACAGGACTCATGATTTGAAAATCATTTGGGCACTGTTTTCTCAGGGGAAACCCATACAATCCTACTAGCATTAGTGGAATAATGTGGACTTAAAAAGGCATGTCTGGGATTATTACTGGTTTCATAGCAATTAAAAACTCAGAAGAATGTAAAATATTTCTTAAAAGCAGAAAGTTGCAGACTTACTTGGTTTTAATTTTTTTAAAAATCTCTTACTATTTCAGGAGGAACCACCCCTGCCCAATGGGAGGACATCACTGGAACAACACCACTGACATTTGTTAATGAATGTGTTTCCTTCACAACAAATGTCTCTGCCAGGTACCTATACAACGAAACATGAGTTTCAGTGTGTTACATTCAAGTGCATGTCTTTTTTCAACAAATATTTCCTTTAGACTATTTCAGTTTATGTAGTAGAAGGAACACAGATATTTTGTCTATGCTGTGAAAAAATTGGCAAGGTATTTGGGAAGCCCTGAGCCTCCTAGTCCAGAGAGATGATGTTCAAGAGCTGTAAGCACTACAGTCCTTACCAGCTGCAGAAAGAAATTGATGTTCTTGTCATTTTTATCTCGGCCATTAGTCCTTTGCAGTCAGCACCTGCTGTGATCCCAGAAATGTTTTTCTGAAATAGTAATCTGAGGGACAGTTCAATTTTTAGGTAGTTAGAAAAAATCTGGTTTCATTTTGAATACCTGTTCTCTCCCAGATGCAGAAATATGCAAATTACCATGGAAACAGAAATCCCTTATTTGGGTAGCTCATACATCTTATAAAAGATGTTACTTCCAGAATATCCAACAAATGAGAAATCAAGCAGAAAGGCCTGTAGGTGTACCAAACTGTGATCCAGAAGAATCTCTTCCAACCATCTGTTCTTGTGATAAGATTCAGCTGCTGTCTTTCTGAAAACAGAATTTTGTATTAAAAAAAAAAAAAAAAGTATTTATGTATTTTAGTTTGTATACTGGCCAAGATTTGTATCACAGAAATGCTCAGAAATCTCCTTCTCTGTAACAGGACATGCAGTCCATGACCTGGAAGGTATTAAATTTAGGATGGGTAGTTACAAAAAAAAAACCCAAAAAACCAAAACAAAAAACCCCAAACAAAACCAAAACAAAGAACAACAAAAAAACCCCTTGGATAACTTGCCCATGAAATTCATTGAATTTCCTTCAGTGCGAACATTCAGTGTCCAGAGCAGTTATTACTATTAGATCAGGTTTTCTATTTAATGAAATGATTAAAATAAGTGCAGCTCTTACAATCCAATCTACAGTATAACTTTAACATTAGGCAAAATAAAGGATTTTTCTATACTTTCTCAGGTCAGAAATGGCTTTCTTCCCATTAAGTTGGATGCTTTACTTATGTACGCTACTTTCCAGTTCAACTAAACATTTTTCTTTAACAGCAGCGACCACAAGAGGGAGATCTTAAAGTGTGTTTTAGCTCTCATCTGCTACCTGCAGTGCTCTGTTTAACGAGATAAATTAACGATTAATTTAAGAACCAGATGTGTTGACTAGATGCAAAGTTTGAGAGGTCAAAGTCCCTAAAATTGTGAAGTCCCCAGCAGGGCTACACCTAAAACACAGCCAGAATGAGGGTGATAGTTTATGGAACTACAATGCATATTAGTAGCGGATGTTTCCTAATCCTGATGATGACGTTAAAATTGATTACTGTTGCTAATGGTCTGTAGTATAGGCGGGGTCCCATGTAGAGATTTTAATGGGTTCTACCTCTTCTTTTTAAGGTAAATGAATGTTCAGCAGACTACTTGAATTCAAACATGATTTTAAATGCTGTTAAAGTTAGAAAATGGGATTTTTCATTTATTTACAGTCAGAGAATTAATTACCTTCTTTGCTGAAGGACAAGCTAACTTGAATTTCTTCACTTGTGCCCTGGTCTAAAAGTGCATCTACCCTTGGGCCACGCTGAGAATCAGCTAATTCCCGACTGTTTGCTATTCACAGTAACTCGTTTATATCCAGTTAAATCATTAGTGATGGAGAACAATTTTCCCATTCATAAGACTAGCTCTGTCGGAGCTTGGAAAAGAGATACGTTTGTCTAAAATACACGTGAATTAAACTGCAGACTTTGAGGCATAGCTGTTTTCCATTTCCTGAGCCGCAGCTTTTTAAAAAAATTAGTATCTGTTTGGGCTTTTTAGCCCCTGGTGTATGACAGCAAATCATTTGAGCATATGGTGATTTCTCAGAGGATATAGCCTCTCCAGTTTTGAGTCCAGCATAGCATAATTCTCCCACACGTGAAAAGGAAAGTATCAGTATGCAGAGCCTTTATGTACCAAACATGCCTTCTGTCTTTCAAATGTCATCAGCCTGTTTTTTAACCAGTGTGTTTGCTAAATGTTCTAAAGATAAGCACAGCATGAAATTCGCTATTATTGAACTGCAGATGAGTAAGACCAGAGAAATCACACTTGAAAGGTATGCTTTGTGGGTTATAATACCATATAATCTACAGCAAGTAATAAGCCCCCTGTAGATTATATCAGCTTTTGAGGTGTCTTTGACCTCTCATGACTTCCGTCTCCATCCTACGGGTGTCAAACTCAAGCATGCTTTCCACCCACACAGTGAATTTTATTTAAAAGAAATGTCATCAGCTCCACAGAGAAGCTAAATGAAGTGCTATTTGAGAAAGAAGACAATACGTGTTGCTCCTCCTAAAACGCTTGGTGCATTTCTGCTGTTATGTTTTGGGAGTAGAAGTAAAATTATTTTAAGTGAAAGTTGTTATCTTTGCAAAATAACAATTCAGTTGTCTTGACGAAAGGCTTAAGGAAATTTTGTAAATTTTTATTACTGGGCACTGTCGTCCTGGCCTGAATGGCCCAAGGAAAGGGTAAAGAACCTGTAGTTTTCAGTAAAGTGGAGGGTCATTTTGTCACAAGAGGACCTGTTCTGGAAGCTGAAGTTCTAGACCCGAGTTGCAACATTGATGGCATGTTTTAAGTAACTGTGCATGTTTGATAAGTTTTGAGGTGGTTTGTTCCAATTCACATGCACTAGCAATACTTTGTAAAAAGGCAGATGTTCATTTGCAGTAATTACGTTGGTGAAATCGGACAACTTATGACCTTACCCTGTAATCTTAAGTATTTCTCTGTCATGGTGGTACCTGAATGAACTAGTGGTGGCAGATCCTTCCTTCGTACCAGGCGGAGGAAGTAATTTATTCCAGTAGAGTTTGCCTGTTGCTTTGAACATGTTTACGTTTGACTTGTGGCACATGTGTCACAGACTGGGAACCACTGGTGGAGAAGATTCGGCATACACACATTAGAACGATGCCATCAGTAAAACCGCACGTTAGAAACCACGATGAATAATGAGTCAGTGATGATCACAGCCTTTGTGAGGCAAGGGTAGTAGGAATCAGATGTGGACACATCTGCTTTCAGGGTCTTCAAAATATAATACGGCTCAGACTTAGAAACATATATATCACTGGTCTTCAATATGCATAACAAAAACTTACCACAAAATCAAAGTTAAAAGTCCCTGACTAAATTCACGTAATTTCTGATTTTACATGCACTGTTACACGGTGGACAAAATCATTTACATTCACCTAAGGACCCTCAGTTTTTTATATTGTATGTAAGGAATGTATTGCTAACCTTTAAGCTAGATGGTAGAAATAAAACAAGTGTTTTGGGCAAGGCAGCTTTATATTTCACCTGTTAGAGATGGAGGTCCAAGAACAGAATGAAGGATTACCAACATATGCCAAAAGCCGTTTCAGTCTCCTGTTCCTCATCAATAAAATTCAGGAAACTTTTACAGCATCCCTGTCACGTCAGAAGTTTGGACACAGTTCACTAACACCCCGACGTGGTATACCGATGTGTCCAGCACTTAACACAGGAAATTGTACAATGCTTAGGAAGATTTCAGAGGGCTAAAGAGAAAAGGATGAAGTTGCCCACTCTGTAGTTTAACAATTTGGTCATAACCTTGAAGAGAAATGACACGCTCAGCATATGACTAGATACAAGCCATTTTAGTAAGATTTTTATGGAATATTACTCTCTTCTGCATCATCAGATGTTTAGCAGCAACCAGCTGTCAAAAAGTACCTGTATTTCTCTAGAGGAAAGGCATATATTGTAGAGTCACAGTTAGGGGAAAATCTGAACCGTACACTTTCAGTACACGCTTCTCTACTTATATTCTGCATAGAAATCAAATAATGACATGTGATAAACAAGAATAAATTGAGAGACCTTTTGGGCAGGTCTAGAAGAATGGTGGTAAGAAAGATCAATCACCATTTCAAATGTCATCAGAAACTGTTGAAAGTGATGGAAAACAGAGACTCTTGAGCTTATTCTAGAAGAGATTTATTTCTTGTACGAGGCAGGAAACATTTGATCGCATATTCTCACTATAAGGAATCAATTCAGATGAAAACAAAGTTAGGCCGTAGCCAACTTGAATAGAAGAAAAAACTTTTATTGCATACTGTGATGAATTTCCAGAATTTCTTGATTTGGTAAGCCATCAATAATTGTTTAAATACTATAAACGTAAATGTGATATATATATTTCATAAACACAACAATATGGAAAGGTTCATGTATTTAAATCTTCAGAGAAGGTGTATGAGACTGCCACAGGACAAGTGAACTTCTTAAAGCTTTTAAAAGACAGTCATGTACTTGGAAGAAAATAAGCTTCCAGCTGAGTGAGATCTTAACAGAAAGGCAAACAGTGGCCTGGAATTTGTGCAGCAGGAGACTCTGTGAAGGGTTTGTATCTGGCATTGAGGAGAGCAAGTTCTGGTCCAAATACTTTCCCTGATGATTTTGCTTGATGCTCCTAAATGCATAGGGGGTACCATGAGGATTCTTAGGCCATTCTTCCCAAATGGTAGCTATTTTTTTTTTACTTGTCATATACAATTGGTGTGGTTACCAGCTAATGCTGCCAAGATGGGAAAACATATCATTTTCTTGCTCAAATCCTTCTGTGCTGATTTTGCAATTCTTCACTTTGTTTTACAGATTTTGGTTGATAGACTGTCGACAGACACAAGAATCTGTTACTTTTGCTTCCCAAGTGTACAGAGAGATTATCTGTGTACCCTACATGGCCAAATTTGTGGTGTTTGCCAAGTCACATGATCCCATTGAAGCACGGTTAAGATGTTTTTGCATGACAGATGACAAGGTGGATAAAACTTTAGAACAACAAGAAAATTTCGCTGAAGTTGCCAGAAGCAGGGATGTAGAGGTACCGTACAAGAATCTTAAACCGTTTTCTCCGTTTTCTAACGTCTGTTTTTAAGCTAGTATTTTCTGCCTTCTATTTGCTAGAAGTACTAAAAACTAATAGTGCCAACAAGTACTGTCGTGATGCAGTATCATCCATCATGCTAAGACGGAAACTTTGACTTCAGTCAGATGTAAGTGAAAAGTAGCTGCCAGATCTGAGCGATGAAATCCTATTGCCAATGGGCAATTGCTCATCCCGTAGTCCACAGGGTTGGTGGGAAGGTTACCTATATTCAGCTGACTGCATTTGGGTCTTCTGGTCAACCTCCCAAGGTGGAAGGTAATTGTGCGCTTCACCCACAAGGAAATCTGATCAGCTGGTTATCAGAAGTTAGAAAGGAATTCCCTGCCGGACTTTAGTAATACCATTTTTGCTTTCTCCATAGCATTGTTGGCATTCAAATAGTATATCCGATGTGTTCTCAGGGTAGTCCTCGGCAATTAAAAAAAATAGGTAGCAGGAGGCTTAGGCTGGATTCAAGGAGATAGTAAATATGGAAGTGGGCTGGTTGAGTCTCGGCTCTCTGTTATGGGACTAAGGCTTAGAAAACCTATAGCACAAAACTGAACTGAAAGAATTTGGTTTCCCAAGATGCTTTTTTTTTTTTTTTAATGGTGGACCTGTTAAACAGTTGTACTTAGAATCTGGGCTGATTTTATGCCAGGAAATCAGGTAATAAAATGAAGTTGGACATTACCATTTAGTCCAGCAGTTTCAGGTTCTTTGTCCTCCTGTTCCCTGGTGTCAGGGTCAGCATTTCTTTAATTCAGATTCAGAACTAGAGCAGCTACTGCCAACTAACTATTACGCAATCTATTTGAGATGGCTAGTTATGCAAGCAGGAGACATTGCTCATGGCTTTTATTAAACAAAAATGCAATAGTTTGTAAGAATTTTGCATAGCTTGGCTGGGGTTTCAGGTGCACAAGACTGAAGATGTAAGTCAGTCCACAGCAAGCTGAGAGGTAGTGGATAGGTGTTGTAAAGGCACTTTTTCCTCAGTTAGCCTAAAACTAAGTTCTAGGGATGCAGGCTAGCCCTAAGTTCAGGTATCTCATAGTCATTTCTGTGGTGGCCCACAGTGATTACTTAGTTTTAATTAGCTCTGTAGCAAACTGCCAGGAGACACCTTGAATTTTTTAGTTAATAGCTTCCTTTTAGAGAAATGTCTGAGTAAAAATGAGTTGTGAGGGTGGTGTTCTTTGTTGAACGGTTATGTTCCTGAGCCTGATACTAAGTGGGTGTTGCGAGAAAAGGGGAGATAGTCAAAGCCAAAAAAAGACAGGTAAATCTCAACTTCCAGTAACTCCATAAATGAGTTATCACTAACCAAAAAGGCAGTCAACAGTTGTCATGTTTTGTCAGCATCTTTGCATACCAAGAAGTTAAATTAGCAGGCTTGATTAACATTCTGCTTTACAAAAAAAATTTAAATCTGTTGCTGAACAGGCAAAAGCTTTCCTATGTGGAATCCTGCAAACTACCTGCTAAATGCAGTTTTTCTGGCTCTGTCAGCTTCCTCAGAAGGGATGACAAATTGAAAGTGCTTTAACTAGATGTATGGTATATTCTTCTGCTCAGTATAGTCTCTTTTAAAAAAAAAATTTGTCCTCACTGTTCCTGAAGCTCTGATGGGCATTTCTTGTGCAGAGCAGCTAGATAAAATAGGGGCTTATAAAACTGAATGACAAGGCTGAATTTCTGGAAAGTAAGGATGAGAAGTTAATGTAATGGCAGTTTGAAGGGAACATCTCCAAAACTGGTAAGGTGAGATTTAAACGTGTGGAGGGGCCATAACAATAGCAATCCAAAGGCGTAGGCAGTATCATTATATAGGCGTTTCAGAGAGGCATTTACGTGAGGCCTGACTTTCCAAAACTCTAGGCCTTTACAAATCCAGCTGAAATAAATAGAATCTACTGATACACACTGTCTTTGCCTGCTGCAAGCATATTAAACACACAGGTAATCTAATTGATAAAGTTTTTGTATTGGTAAAAAGGTCCTCTGCAACTTCATGATCTTCCCAGACTGGCTTATTATCCTGCCAGTCAAAACAAGGAGTTTTGATTTGATTGCTGAAGAAGATATTTCTTTGACTGTTATGAGGAGGCCAGCTTAGCAAAGAATGCTAATATTAGAGCCCATCAAAAATCCTAATTAAAATATAGATTATTTGCCTGGATTCATGACACTAAATACTCATTTTGTCATTTACAGTGTCATGCTATTGTTATTGAATTAACAATGTATTCTATTTGGAATTGAATAATCTGAAATGTTTCCACAGATTTAAGGTAACTGAACATGACAAATCTTGTAAATGCTGACGAGTCCTAGCAATTTAAGAAACTGATGGAAACTACTGTAGAATTATGCTTAAGAAGAAATCCTAACCACCTCACTGTGATTGATTGCTGCTCTGATTCTTTTTCATTTCCAATAGGTATTAGAAGGAAAACCCATCTATGTTGACTGCTTTGGCAACTTGGTGCCACTGACTAAGAGTGGGCAACATCATATATTCAGTTTTTTTGCCTTCAAAGAAAACAGACTTCCTCTGTTTGTTAAGGTAATGTTATAATATGAGCTATGGATTATATGTTTATTTTCTTGTCTACTACGGAGTTTATTGTAAACTTAGCAGACTGAAGAACAGTTCCAAATTATTTTATGATAATGGATTAAATGTTGACTTGGGCAGTTAAAAAAAAAACAGAAGAGGCTACGTAAAGTTTAGTATAATTTTTCTCTAAATATAACTATCTATGCCTGTGTTCTATTATACACGCATGTGTCCACAGCATTCTTTCAGATACCAAAATGGTACTTCTAGGAATCCTGTTTTCTACCTAATAATCTAATGAGCTGATCAAGTTTTATCTTGTTTGTTTTTCTGCATCATGGTTCAATATATTGCAGGAAAAAATGTGGAAACTGCAAAAAAGTGTCAGAAAACATTGTAGAATTGGCAGAAACCAATCAAAATATGATCGTTGTACCCTACGCTTGTAAACGTGCATATGGGTGTAAATACAGATATAACTGTTCTTCAACCAACCATCCTCCCTTCAGTAGCAGTGCAAACCTTCCCTGGGAGTACAGTAAGAAAAGCATGGCTCCTTTTTGGATATTTCAAGTCATGGTTTTACCATATTTTTGAGAACAAAGGAAAAAGGAAGTAATTAATTTTGATAAATTCCCATCTGTAACCTCATTTTAACCCTGTAGTGTGTATTACTGTACTAATCTATTCTAAAAACTTTTACGTGAGTAGGAAAGTTTGTAAAACAAAAGCCAAAACAAAAAACCTCTGTTCATCCAAAATTAACTAATGCTTTAGCCCTGGCTATAGAGCCAGTGACATAAACACCGTGGTCCATGGGCTCATCTGCATTGCTCATGAGATCTGCAGGGAGCAGTAAGTCATGTAAAAAAGTGCTCTCACTGCGGTCTCTGCTAGGAGCGGAGGGCTGCTGCCACCGAGCCACCATCACCTTCTCTTCCGGAGAGAGAGATTCAGGGGGCACTGCAAACCTCTTCCCACAAACCTTCCCTTCTGCTGGGACATCCCAACTACAACAGAGGACACTATTACCATTACATAAAATAGTTTGAGAGAAATGCTTTATGAATGGAATCTTCCAAAAAGTGGAGAAAATCAACGCCCTCCCTCATTGTATTACAGTTGCTGTATGCTGGTAGATAACTTCTAAACTCTCTTCCTCCTTTCCAGCAATATTTTGCAAGCTTGTTTTAATTTAGAACTTCATCTATGCCACCCACCTACCTCTGGCTTTGCATGTTTTTCTCTGTGATGGATTTTCCAAGCTATGTTCAAAAACATGTGTGTCCTTGCATCTAGTATTTTCAATCTGATAAAGTTAGTACATTTTATCAGTGCAGAAAACTAAGAATGAGGTAATGCTTTCAGCTGTATTTCTTTTGTGGTATTGTACGTAATCTTCCTGATATTATGTACAAAAGCTAAAACTACATCACCAGTATCTTCAGTTCTAAGTGCTTACACTTGTTTCTACTAACAACTGTGGAAGAGATTTTTTTTTTTAAGATTCACTGCAAAATCTTAAAGTATGGCATGATGTAGTATCTGTTGTAGATAATAATGGTCACACCTATAAATACATTCCAGCAAATTTCTTCATTCTAACACTAGGATTTATCCATACATTTGAGAAAACATTTTGCAAGAGAAGAAATTTTGTAAATGTAATCTTTAACTGTTTTCAGCCACTGAGCCAAAAGAGCTGCTTAGCAACAACTAAAACAAGTGTGTTATCAACATTAGTCTCATACTAAGTCCAAAACACACTGTACCAGATACTAAGAAGAAAATTAACTCTATCCCAGCTGAAACCGGGACTTACTGGAATGTCTCTGTTCTTTTACGACTGTGATTACAGTGTCAGGACTGCCTTTTAACTAAGTGAGTTTCTAATGTGTAAGCATGTACACTCTCGTGTCTTCTCTTGCTTTGACACGCAAATACATCCGTATGTATGTTTACGAACAAGCAGGAAAAAAAAAAGAGAAACCACATTATTTTTGCTTACATGGACTTTTTCTCCCACATCTAGCCTCTTTCTGCTAAATAGTTTTGAGTGACACAAGGAGCTTATACAGCAAAATAGCAAAATAACAGATTAAATGTCTGTCTGTTTGCCCTACCAGGTGCGAGATACCACTCAAGAACCCTGTGGACGATTATCATTCATGAAGGAGCCAAAATCTACAAGAGGCCTCGTTCATCAAGCCATATGTAATTTAAACATCACTTTACCCGTTTACACAAAGGTATGGTGAAATTATACTGTTCTGTAGTCATCAGCATTATAATATAAACAAGAAATGAGTAGGAGGGCAAAATATCGTTAAAGCTTTGTAGTCAGTTATTTTAAAGAAGAATAAATACCACCCAAGGGCTTTCAGTTTCTTGGGTTTGGTACTCTTAATGCCAGTGTTCAACCATGTTATCGAATGTTTTCTGAGGGCTCAGAAGATAGGACAGAAGGGAGATGAAAATACAATTTGCACTACATAGCTCCCATGGTTTCATTTGGTGTTGCACAAGACCTATGCTAATCTGATTTCATACAGAAATTTTACCGATTCTGTTCATGGGCAAGACAGCTCTGGGACTCAGTGAGTACCTCTACGTTCATTTTTTTGTTTTACCGAAGGCTTCCCAGACTGTCTAACCGTGTCTTCTGACACCTCTTTGGAGATGAAATTGCCATTCATACCTGTTTCACAAAGCGTAAGGATAATGTCTGTAGATCATATCATGTTGTTAAGGTATGAAGTACAGAAGGACTGAAAATTATTTGTCATGTTTTTCATTTGTGAATTTGCAAGCTAATGGGCTTTGCAATAGCATTTCTAGTTAACTGCTCTGTTTATCTGTGGTGATAGCGATAACAGTGTAGCAGATGAGCTCTAGAATTTGCAAAGCTTATAGCAGTGCCAACAATATTGTCTCGGACTAGATTTTAATATTACACTGACTTCTTCCTACGCGTGATCAAATCTTTCAAGAATCTTTGAGTATGTCACATCGTGTAAACGGTCTTTCTTCAGAATATTGGTATAACAGCTCTTAATGTATCTGGGGAAGAAAACGGTCCAATATCAAGGGCAGAAAAAGAGGAAAACTCTAGTATGAGTTGGTATTTATAAATAACAAGATTGAGACCAGTTGGATGGGAGTGCCCTTGATTTCTGTTTAAGTGAGATCAGATATTAAGAAGCACTTGTTTCCTTAGAGTCAGTTTATTGCTATTCTGTCATAACTTCAGATTGGTTACTGTCCTTGTCCGATTAGGAGCTGCATGCCTTTTAGGAATGTATTAGGCTGTTTGCCCAAAATCTTGCCTGTTGGTTTTCATTTTTTTCCTCAGCATTTTTAGCATATAATGTAATCTTTGTTATAGCATTTGTATATAATTTTAAAATAACACATCTCAACATACTTTAACTTTAAATGGGTAATGTTCTTAACTATTTGAAGTAGCTAGCCATGCTAATTTATGGGTGCAAAAGCATGTATGTATTTAAGTTTTGGTACAAATAAGGACCACTAGAATTCTAACATCCAGAAGCAACTTTTCTGTTTGTAATTTGCTTGATTCTGTAGCTTTTCGTGTTTTAAACTGACAGTTTAGTTCTGCTGCTTTTTGACGTAAGAGATCAATTGCAGAAATGTACTCCATTTTCTTCTTTCCTGTTAAATGTTGTCAGAAGTTATCTTTTCCTACTCTCTTCTTCTAAAAAAAATTGCATTTTGCCTGCTCTGTTTTCCCCTTCTCTTTTTGCATGGCATTTTGGAACTGAAAGGAGTCAGAATCAGATCAAGAACAAGAAGAAGAGGTAATGTTGCTATAACAGCATGTTATTGCTTATGCATACTACTAAAATAGAGCTAACAGATACAGCTTAGAAGATAAAATCTGTAGCAAAAGAAGCGTATCAATCATTAGTTCAGTGCTCCAAAAACAACGAAGAGGGGTGCACTTAAAAGGACCTCACACAGGCTCGCTTTGGGAATTTACTGAGCTTAACTTTCCCTACGTTAAAAGTTTTACTGGTTCAGATGCACTGATTTTGGAGGTGTATAATAGTTCATTTTGCTTTCAAAACAGTTTCTTAGTAATTTAAAAATTATTTTGCTCAAGAGTAAGCCATACAAGTGTATTTCTTTAACCTTTATTCTCTGCAGCACAAAAAAGGGGAAATGGGATTGGTTTTTCTGATTTTGAGAACCATCCTGCATCCTAAAAATAATGTAGGGTTGCTATTAGACTTGTCTAACATATTCAGAACCAGTGGCTGATTGGCGTAGTATACTTTTTTATTAATACCCCTAAGTACAGTCTGAATATGCTTCCTCTAGTTAGTGGTGGTGGGTAGGGGGGAACGGAGGCAGAAGAATAGACCTAAATACAACAATTGTGTCCATCCATGAGTTCCCCGGTGTTGGGGGGAGTCTGGGACCAGATTGCAATTGACTGCACTGCCCGTCTACCTGAAAGGGCTGCAATTCACAAATCCTGTCCATTTATAACATCCGATAGACTGGATCTTACAGATTTCTGAGTTGGATTACTGAAGTCCAGTCCAGAATCAGTGGTAACACAGAAGTGACGAGTAAGTTCACGCCAAGTAAAAGGTGTAGAGTTTTCATCTTTAGCATAAACTGGAGAACAGCATCTTAATGGAGAAATGTGGCCAACTCCCCCCCTACATTCCCAGCCTCCTTTCTGGCAGTTATAGCTGTTCCTTAAGGTCTGACCCCTACACGACTGAGTAACATTAGAAAAGCATCCCCACATTTTGATGATGTTCAGCTGTTGGAAACAAGTAAGAGTGCCGGCGCTGTGAGAAGAGCCTGCCTCCATGAACTGCAAAACAGAATTCAGAAGTTTTGTTGCATGGATTGCAGTTTCCTATTATCATACAGAAATATTTACCACTCCTGTTTCAGTGCTGAAATACAGGCACTGTCAAGTGAAAACATGACCAAGGTTTTTAAGCTAATTCCCACTATGTTCATTCAGAAGGTAACATTTCTTATCAGGTGATCATTCAGTTTGGTACTGAAAGCATGAAACTGATTCTTTTAGCCTCTGTAATGCTGTTTATGCATTCCCAGTGAAGTCCCCAAAAGTTGTTTTTAACACATCTATGCTCTGTAAAAGCAGTGTAAAGGATATTGAAAAATCATTTTTCCAAACATTGTTGACTTCTTATATTTTTACTGAAACATAAAAGGACAACCTCTTTGATGGCTAAAACCACCTTCCATTTTAAGTTATTTTTTTGTTTACTTTATTCATTTTTATGTTAATAATATTAATTAGTATGCTGACATAATTCCAGACTGATTTGAAGGAATTTAAAGTAAGGGGAATTAAAGCGTCCTAGGGTTCCTAGATTACCATGTACGGCGATCTGTGCATCAGAGGAATTCACACTATTATGGATCTGTAATACACACTGCTAAGTGTGAAGTTTAATAACGTGAGCCTAAATGATTGCAAGGCATGTATGAACATGTAAGTGTTCCAGTGATTTACTTGTATTCGTTTTCAGTTTATGGAAATGCAAGAATTAGTTAACATTTTTGCTTAGACAATATATTGCATTTATCTTTATAAAGAATACTTTTAAACAAGTAAAACCTTTTCAACACTCACTAAAAAACTATCTGGGAGGCTTTAACGTACACAGTATATTATATCAACAGAACTGCATAACTGATTTTCATTCCTCACAGTCATCCTACCATCCCAAGTTTGTATAGGAAATTGAATGTTTAGTGCTCCTTCTAACTTTACGTACTTTTGCCTATCTAAATTTACACAACAAAAATCTTTTTTTGCTTGTGTGGACAAATGATTGTGCTAGCAGGACTGAAAAGAAGTCAAACTACGAGGCAACTTCAAAACCATGCTGCTTGAATTTTCATAGTCTGACGTTGCATTTTTTTTAATGTTTTTTTTTGGCAAGGGCTATGTTTTCTTTTGATTAACAGTAAAATTGTAGGGCTTTTCCAGTCTGTACCCAAATACCTCTGAAAAATAAAAAAGATGGCCTCTGAGGACCATCACTGCTTCCATTTAGAGGTATCAATAGCTATCGGTGGCATCAAGTCCTAGTTCTTGCCTTAGGCAGGAGCAAGTCTGCAGTCATTTCTGCATCTGCTTTTTTCATCATCACAAAGTACAGAGGCAAAAAGGCAAACCGTGATCTCAGAATGAACATGTACAATGAAACTATGTATAAAGCTTACGAGTTCCCTTCCAGATGGGACATCTGCCTTCATGTGACCATATTGGACTTTCTTGCTTTAGACAGGAAGAAATAAATTAAGAGCAATGCAACGACATACCCAGTAGCACAGAAGTCCTCTATACTGCTAGTCGCATTTAAAGACAATACACTGCAGCATTTTGCATTTACTCTTGACTGTAACTATAGCAAAGTAACCATTTTTCTGTTATTAGAAACACTAAATAATACCATGCTTCTACCGTTGTTTTAAATCCATTGTTGTTTCCATTTAAGTCAATGAATCTGTGTGTCTCCATACATCTAGTAGATTTGAACCTGTACCATTTCACTAGTGACTTTATATATATATCGATTGTATTTGAACTTTTAAATTTTCCCCTTTTTTTCTCTTCCAGGTTGATGTGACTTCAGAAAAAAGTAAGATTTTCCTTTTTTTTGAAAATGTTATAATGCAGTTTGTATGAAAGATGGTTAAGAATAAAGATAAGCATGAAAGAGAGCTAAGCTTTAACTGCTATTGCTAATAACATCAATATTTTAAAAATGTAATAGAAAATTTAATACCAAAGCAGCTATCCAATTAAATACATTTTAATGTATAAATTAACAAGTAATACAGTTTCAAACAGTTCATCTAAGCATTTACTTTCCTTTGACATCCCTAGTGATCCTGCTATTGCTATTTTGCTTGTATGAATGCTCATGCCTCCATTTTTTTGTTTTGTCCATTTGTTGACACACATTGTTGCTTCATATTTGAGATAAATGACAGTATCACTTTTAATGAAAGTGTAATTATTACTCCAATATATTTCATTAAATTCATGAAATACAACCATGCAAAAAAGTGATACTGTCCAAAGTAATCAGGCTGTTTAACTACCCCCCCCCCCCCCCCCAGCCCTTTACTGTGGTGAAATATGACTGTCAAGCTTGGCACAGCATATATACCCTTTGTATATACAGAATCAGGCCATTATTATTAGAAACTGAGGGTGAGTGGTTCACAATGCCAAAGATAGCCTTTAATGAAGATGCAGATCAAACAAATATGTATTCAGTCTGAAGAGTATCTCTAAGAAGAACTGTTTTCAAATGCAGCGATTTCTTAAATCTGTTTAGGAAAAGAATGACTTCTGTCTTGGTTCCGGGTTAAAGTGCAATCTCCTGCCTTTTTTTCTACATTTCATTTTGAGGGTTATTTATTCTTGATGTACTACTTACGTGTTTTAATTGGAAGGACAACAGCACCATGATCCTGAAGATCAAGTGGGTGGTCATTCCCCTATAATCTCTAAAGCAGAAATCTAGCTTCATCTAGAGAATAAAAGACATCAGGGTGACAAAATAGCTAATAACGTGGTGGGACATAGTATTCACTGTGATTAACAACATGATTTATATTAGATTTTTGCTCTAATTTACACCAGGAGGACCAATTTCATCAAGGTGGAAAAAGACACACCATAACATAGTCAGCAGAGTGGAATTTCAGTTGGCCCATGACACACCTTGGCTATGGGAAATGGGAGGTGAATTCAGCAGAACAGTAAAACGTACAGGTGAAAAAGGGCGCGAATGCTGCCCTTGCCACACACTTTATTTACTCAATGCAGTACAACCCCCCTAAGGAAGGTGGCAAGATGCACGTTTGGTGAGATTGCTCAGTTGTGGCTGTCGCAAACTCGTCTAAATTCAATGCAGCATAGAGCTAGAATTTTGGGTGACTCTTTTATACTGGACAAATGAAAATACCAGTCAGATAGCAATTTAGATTTGCTCCTCCTTTGGCTTCATGGAGGATTAGTTTGAGAATCAGGTAGAACAGCTGCAGGCAGGAGAGTGAGAGAGAGAGAGAGACTGTTCCCAGGAATCATTAGCAGTATAATTAACAGACATGAAAGAGACCAACAAGTGCCTGCTTAAAGACCACTGAAATGCCTCACATCACGATATCCAAATTGCTGGAAAATAAACTTCTAACCAAGCAACTTCTTTTCAGGCAGTTAGCCCAGTTCCCTTATACTTCTGCTAATGGTCATCCTTATGTTAAATAACTTTTAATTGCAATGAGGTAATATAAAAGTGTGACTGATTTTTTGGCCAGTAGTTGTGAGTCCTAGTTCTTACTGGATAGTACATGTGCATGTCCTTGGTTTGGGAATAATTATTTACGTAAAGAGAAATGCATTTATGAGACAAAGCAGAAAATCTTACCCATGTCAAAGTAATGCCGAATTCACCTTCACAAATAGACCTTAAAGGTGTCAGCCAGAACCAGGATTAGAACTGGTGTTTCTGAAACGCGTGTTAGAGACTTTACCTTTTGGCCGTAGAGTCAGTTCCTTCCTGGTCTGCTGAAGAGTTAAGGCAAGTGAACAGCTCTCATAAGAAGAATCCAAAAGACCGAGGGCAAGCCAAGAACATGACCCAGAAGAGCTTAGCAGTTAGAGGTACTTAGTTTCAAGATCCACTCTGCCGAATCCAAAACCATTTCCCACTGAGAAGAGAAACAAGTGACAAAATCAAACAACAAAACCTCCAGAACACTATAATAAACTGAGAGATTTTATCAGCATCTTTTGTTTCAGCTGTTCTACTTAATCTAAAGAATTATTCTCAGAAACAAACATTTGTACTTTAGTTTTCAAATCTACAAAATTACGAGACACCATCTTGGTGTCCGCTAGACAGCTCACACTAAACCCAGCAGCACCAAACCACCAAATTTCCAGCACCAAAATCAGCCCCAGAAATCTGGTTATAATTAACGTACAGCACAAACATTTAGCATTCATTACACCCAAGAGAATAGTGTAGGAAAATGGATATTTTTTGCAAAGAAATACAGATTATTATGTATCACTTAGGTTCTCCTTATTTGCATTACTACTTTGACTTTTAGACTGGGGTGCAGCAATGTGTGAAGTTTTGTGTGATGTACTACCTTTAGCAGAAAAATGTAAAATATAATTTCTAAGCATTGCATTCTGTTCATAACTTGCTTCAGTCCTCCAATGTTTCATTCTGTTCAATATACATTTTCTAGTAGTCCCTCCTGAAATTAAATATTCCCAGCAGGCAATTAAGGCATAATGGGAATTACCTACACCCAGCTTACTGTATATTGATTGCACAGATTAGACAAATATTTCACCACAGTATGCTTTACAATATTTTCATGTACCTTTAATTTATATGATTGATTTTTAGAGCTATTGTTTTTTAACTGAAGCTACATACCCAGCAGCATTTGCAACACCTTTGCTTTGCATGGAAATAACTTGCCTTACATGAATTGTATGTATGTGTCTAGCGTGACTGTCTCTGGTTTTTGGTTGCCATACATTACATTTTTTAAAACTTTGAAATCACTTCTAAGTTGATTCACAGTTTTTTCTTATTATCTCTCCTTTTCTTCTCTGTCTTCTCTTTCCTCAGTCAATTCATTAGTTGTCAATGAGGATGTTCCAAGGAAAGGACCATGCCTCTTAAAACAAAAGAATGTTTGTTTCATTGTTTAGGTGTGAAATCCCCTTAGACGAAATGCCGGTTTGCAGCTGATTCAGATCTCTACATATCTGATCATATTTTAGATTACTGCAGAATTACTTTTAACTTTTTATTTTGGTCATTAAGAAAAAAAAAAATGTTAACCCAATGTTATTCTGACAGTTTGCTAACACTGGCTTTCTCTTAGAGGAAATCGACTTTCAATCAGTTCTAATGCTTTCCTCTTTTTTTCTTGTTTATTTTTATTTGAACATTGATCTGTAACATCTGAACAATCTTGAGATGCCTATCTTTGTGTAACTTCACTGTGTTTCTTCTGTTTTTAATTTTAAATTTTGTCGTTGTTTTGGTTTTTTTAGTGGTGTCCTGATTTGGTTTGTTACAGCTTTGATAATGTATGTGTGGTTGTGCTATATTGATAAAGTTAAGCAAGTTATTTCCTGCCATTTTCCTTTTCAATTTTGGGTTTTTTTTGTTGGTTCCCTCTCCCCACCCCCCCTCCCCTTTGTTAGCTTTGCTTTGCTCTTGTACCCTCAGATCTTGTGGATCCACCATTCCCGGCCCATTTTGTTGACCTTCCTACCACTGCAACCAAAGACTGTCATTTTCAGTCCTGATTACATTTTTCAATCTCTATTTTTGATTTCCATTTTACTTTCAATGTTTTTCATTCGCATCAAAGATGACGAGACAGAATCTACAGAAACATCTATCCTGAAAAGCCATCTGGTTAATGAAGTCCCTGTACTAGCCAGTCCAGACCTGTTGTCTGAAGTTTCTGAGATGAAACAAGATTTGATCAAAATGACTGCCATATTGACAACTGACCCTTCAGATAAATCAGGCTCCATTAAAGTGAAAGATCTTGGAAAACCCACTGAAGAAGAGCCAGGAGAGCCCTTTGAAATAGTTGAAAGAGTGAAAGAAGACTTGGAAAAAGTAAATGAAATTCTGAGAGGTGGATCCTATACCAGAGAAGAACATGTTTTGCAGAAGTCCCTTTCCAAACAAGAACTTGCAGAAGAAGAATGGGTCATCGTCAGCGATGAAGAAATTGAAGAGGCCAGAAGAAATGCTCCTTTAGAAGTCACTGAACCTACCTGTGTAGAAGTCAGGGTAGACAAAGGGACAACAAAAATGGAGAAGCCAGACATGACAGGAATGGTAGATTACCTTACAGAGGATTTAAAAACATATGTCTCTCTTCATGAGGTACAGCCACAAGCCTTACAAGAAGACTTAGTAGAAGAGAGATTTGAAGCTGTAGTAATAAGCAGGGATTCTGAAAAAGAAGGACAAGAATCTCCAACAACTGAAACACTAAGTCCACAGGAGGAACACAAGCCAGCCTTAGAAATTAAAAAGCCAGTTAGGACAAAAGTAAGAGACAAGCAAAAGCCAAAGGAAAGCAAGATACACAGCAGTGAAGAGCAACCAGGACTAAAGAAGCTCATTTCGGATGAGTCGCTTGGCGAGGAATCTGGCTTAACACTGACAGCTGCTCCTGAGGCTAAAGCTGTATCCCCTGTTATAGAGGAAACTCCTATTGGGTCAATAAAAGATAAAGTTAAAGCTCTTCAGAAACGAGTGGAAGATGAACAAAAAATACGTTCAAAACTACCTGTCAGAATTCAAACAAGAGAAGGTGCTGCTGAGAAGGCTTCTAAAAGACCGGTACAAGTCAAAAAACCAGTAACACACAAAGCACAACCACCTGTTTCACCTTCTTCTAAGACGGAAAGACTTGAAGAGACCATGTCAGTTCGTGAACTGATGAAAGCCTTCCAGTCGGGTCAAGACCCATCCAAGAATATATCTGGACTGTTTGAGCACAAATCTGTCAAACAGAAGCAACAGCTCCCTGAGAAGGAAACAACCCGGAGAAAAACAGTTTCTTCACAAAG